TTATGCGCAGATCTTCATGGCTCTCTGCATCCGGCATCCCTAAAGATCTGCAGACCAAAGTGGAGGACCTCCCCTTTGATAAAGATTAAACTTTTTTCCACAAAAAACAATGAACTCCTTCACACCATGAAAGATTCTAGAGTGACACTGCGCACCCTAGGCATTCACCCATCTCTTCCCAGGAGACAACGATACCAATCCTACCAAAGACCACGCACACAACAGTATTATTGGCTTCAACCCAAACCATACGACATAACTAACTAGGAATCGCGCTAGACCCCCTAAGCACAGACAAAATCAAGCTCAAGCAACCACCTCCCACCCATTGGGGAATAAACAATTTTGAAACGTTGGTCAAGGGTCTGCACGACCACCCCTTGATTCCACTGCCTACTTGCCCATTTGGCTACCGCCTCCAGAGTTTCCAACATGCCTGGCAGCGGATTACACAGGACCACTGGGTCCCCGAAGTAGTTCAGTTACTCTATCCCATTTATATCCTACACTCCTACCCTTCCCCGTCCCTCTTCAGGGACCCCTCTCATGAACACTTACTTCGCGCAGAAGTGGTCCCCCTTCTACAACTAGGTGCAGTGGAACCTGTGCTGACTCAACATCGAGGGAAAGGGTTCTACTCCCATTACTTCCTGACCCAGAAAAAGACCGGGGGATGGAGGCGTATACTAGACCTATGCCGTCTGAACAAATTCTTGAGGATACAAAAATTCAAGATGGTCACACTGGGCACAATAATTCCTGCACTGGATCAAGGGGACTGGTTCACAGCCCTCGACCTACAGGACACTTATTTTCATATATCAATTCATCCAGCTCACGGACACTGCCTACGATTCACAATCAGTCATGACCATTTTCAATACAGAGTTCTTCCTTTTGAACTCTCCACAGCACCGAGAGTCTTTTCCAAAACTCTGAGCGTGGTCATGGCTCACCTCCACAGACATGGGATCACATTTTTCCCCTACCTGGACGATTGCCTCATCAAGGGCAACTCCTATGGCAAGACACTTCAAGCTATCTATTTCGCCATCTCCCTCTTTCACAGCCTTCACCACCAAATAAACCTCCAAAAATCCACCCTGACTCCTACATAACAGATCGAGTTCATTGGAGCTCATCTGGACTCAATCCGAAGCAGAGCCTCGCTCCCAGTCACAGATTCCTCGCTATCACGCAGCTTATATGCACGCTCTCTATTTGTCCCAGGACACAGGCAAGAATCTGTCTACAGCTCCTTGGTCACATGGCAGCCACCACCTTCATGGTCCAGTACACCAGGCTACACATGAGATGTCTTCAGGGCTGGCTCAACTTCAAACCCAACAGACACACCTTAGGGATGCTGCTAACTCCTCCTCCCCCCAATGTTCTAGCTTCCCTACATTGGTGGACAAGACCAGAAAACCTCTGCACGGGGGTTTCATAGAATCATAGAATATCAGGGTTGGAAGGGACCTCAGGAGGTCATCTAGTCCAACCCCCTGCTCAAAGCAGGACCAATCCCCAATTTTTGCCCCAGATCCCTAAATGGCCCCCTCAAGGATTGAACTCACAACCCTGGGTTTAGCAGGCCAATGCTCAAACCACTGAGCTATCCCTCCCCCCCCACTGAGCTATCCCTCCCCCTCCTTCCAGCAACGATCCCCAATGCTCATGCTCACCACGGACACTTCCCTAATCAGTTGGGGAGCGCATCTATGGGGGACACAGGGCACAAGACCGATGGTCCACATCAGAGACGAGCCTACATGTAAATCTCTTGGAGCTCAGAGCAGTGAGGTGAGCATGCCTTCAGTTTCTTCCCCTCATAAAGAACAAATCTATTCAGGTCTTAACAGACAACATAGCATGTATGTTCTACATCAACAGACAAGGGGGAGCCTGATCACATTCCCTATGCATGGAAGCCATCCGACTATGGAATTGGTGCATACAACATCAAATAGAAATCATTGCTTCCTACCTGCCTGGCTGCCACAACGCTACTGCCGACACACTCAGCAGGCACTTCTCGACAGAACACGAATGGGAACTTCACCTCGCAGTACTTCAACAGCTCTTCTCCCTCTAGGGCACTCCGTCAATAGACCTCTTTGCCACAACCCAGAATCGAAAACGTCACCTGTTTTGCTCCTGAGTGGGACTTGGGACTGCATCCCTAGGAGCACCGTGCAACACCTCTCTCCTGTACGCCTTCCCACCAGTCCCTCTGCTACACAGGGTTCTTCGGAAGATCGTAGACAACAAGGCCCGGGTCATACTTATTGCCCCGGCTTGGCTGAGACAGATGTGGTATCCTTACCTGCTCTGCCTGTCCTCCCGTCATCCATGGACTCTCCCCAGCAGGCCAGATCTCCTTTCCCAGGACAACGGATGGGTCCTTCACCCCCAGCTCCAAAAGCTCCACCTGACAGCCTGGTTCCTTCATGGTTCCAAACTCATGAACTAGCCTGTTCCGAGCAAGTCCAATACATCCTCCTGCATAGTAGAAAAGACTTTACTCGTAAAACTTACCTGCAGAAGTGGAAGCGTTTTGCCCTCTGGTGCTCTCTTAATCACTTAACACCCAATACGGTGACCCTCCCTAAAGTCCTGGACTACTTTCTGCAATTAAAACAGGATGGACTCTTGCTCAACTCCATCAAAGTACACCTGGCGGTGTTTACTACGGTCCATGATTTGGTAGAAGGTTACTTACTCTTTACCCACCACACCATAAAACGATTTCTCACGGGCCTGCAAAATCTCTGCCCTGAAATTTACCCAACGGCAGCTACATGGAATCTTAACCTCGTTCTTCATGGTCTCATGAATCCTCCATTTGAGCCCTTGGCTACCTCATCTCTTTTTCATTTGTCCATGAAGGTAGCTTTCTTAGTTGCAATAACATCAGCAAGGAGAGTGGGAGAAATAAGCGCCCTGATGGCCCATCCTCCCTACACGATCTTCTCCAAAGACAAAGTCACTCTGAGACCACATGCTAAATTTCTCCCTAAGGTGGTATCCATCTTCCACCTTAACCAATCAATATACTTACCTGCTTTCTATCCCAAACCTCACAAGACTCTGCACAAGGCAACCCTGCATACTCTCAACATCAGGTGAGCAATTGCCTTTTATTTAGACAGGACTAAGCCATTTCATAAGTCCCCACAACTCTTTGTCTCCATTACTGAAAGATCGAAAGGTACCGCTATCTCTAAACCACTTTGTCCAAGTGGATCTCTGACTGTATCAGATCCTGTTACTGCACTCAAAATATTCAACCACCCTAAGGTATTAGAACTCATTCCACTCGAGCTATGTCGACATCAGTTGCCTTCTTACATAATGTACCCATTCCTGACATCTGTAAAGTGGCTACATGGTCATCTGAACACACGTTTGCCAAACACTATGCTATCACGCAAGATACCACAGCATACACCATAGCAGGCCATACAGTACTCACTGCCGCATCTTCAAAGTCCCACTGATCATAGTGGTACTGCTACACATTCACCTAGAGTGGAGCACCCACAGGGCAGCACTTGAAGAATAAGAGAAAGTCACTCACCTTACAGTAACTGAAGTTCTTTGAGATGTGTGTCCCTGTGGATGTTCCACTCCCCGCCCTCCTCCTTTCTATTTTGTAGTATTAGTATGATTTCTCCACGGTAGAGAAGGAACTGAGGAGGGTGCGGGACGCACGCACTCAGGAAGATTCCAACAAGATGGGAGATACCAACTGAGCACGTGTGTCCCAACCAGGCACTGCTACTGAAAATCTCCGCTCAAAGGTGCCGGGACGCACCAACACCTAGAGTGGAGCACGCACGGGGACACACATCTTGTAGAACTTTAGTTACTGCAAGGTGAGTAACTTTCTGTTTTGTAGCTTTTTAGAGTGCTTTCAATGCAACACACCATCCTTGGGACTAGAAAGCTGGTGTCTGTGTGGATGTGACGGACTTTGGGCATGCAGTTTTATTCAGACCACAAAATTAGTTCCTTTATTAGAGAGACTAAATGCCATTCCAGGAAGTGCAGAAAAATAATTACTGAGCACCGTGCATCAGCTGTATTCTAATACATTGCAGATTGAGCTCCATACCCAACAAGACGCTAGGTATTGCTAGAGATTAGAGATGTATTAGCTCTGTCTTAATCCTGCCTCTACCTCTTCCTTTCCTCCATAATCCCCAATACTCTGCTTCTCCTAAATCTAGAACTCTGGATTATAAACACAAACCCAGAAATGTTCCCCTAGAAGTTATTTGGCCCAGGTGAGAGGATGGTTCAGCAGTAACACAACAGGTCATCACAGGAAGTAAGGAAACTGTCCTACTGAAACTGCCAGGGGACTCTTATGATCAGGAGTACTTACAAATCAAGCAGTACATGTGTACAGAATGGGTATATGTTTTCTTACAAACTGGCCTTGTCTGTGTTGTGTTTTTTGGAAAAAAATATGATGGTACTGTTACCCCTTGGCCCAAACAGTTAGCCAATATTTGGAGCCGTGTTGCACTATTTATACGAACAAGATATTTCTTTGGTGCAGTTCTGTTTATTTACAAAGAATGTACAGAAAGTGCCATTTTCCTGGAAACAGTAGGAACAAATGGCAGACAGCTTCCTTGCTCACATTTTGCAAGCCTGCCTTTTCCAGAGAGTCCCGTGCCCAAGGAATTCTGTCTCTGCTCCTACTCAAGGCCATGGTCTCTACATATTTTTCATTGTCTGCTGGTTTTCTGGGAGCTTTTTCCTTCTGATATACTCCACTGGACCCAATCAATGCTCCAGCCCCTGTGTTTACAACCAGTCCCCAGGAAAACCCCATGGTTCACACAGCTCAGGTCCTGCTGTGCTTTTCCTCCCTTGGAGGGAACTTCTGTTGTTTCCGCTATCACTGAAGAAAGGGAACTTTTTCTAGGTCTGTGATTGATAGGTACTGTTAACTTGATATCCCAGTATTATATGTGACTTTTTTCTAGATTCCAGAATTTGACAACTTGTACCTGGATATGAATGGTATCATCCATCAGTGTTCACACCCTAATGATGATGATGTTCACTTCAGAATCTCAGATGATAAGATCTTTGCTGATATTTTTCACTATTTGGAAGTATTATTTCGCATTATTAAACCAAGAAAGGTTTTCTTCATGGCAGTTGATGGAGTGGCTCCAAGAGCAAAAATGAACCAGCAGCGTGGGAGACGTTTTAGGTGAAAACATTTTAATGTTGCCCTGTTTATAAATAGAACAGCACATTTTTATGAGATTTTTTTAAGTTTAAAAATTGAAATAAGTATGAAATACATAGTTTTAAATTATGATGCTTTTGACTATAGCATTGTTTGGGTTTTGTTAAATAATAACTGGTCAGTCGTAAATCAGAATTGAGGATCTTTTGCCAGTGCATTTGAAAAAGACCGGTACACCGGGGAGTACTTTTCGTCTTTTGTCTTTGAAGTGAACTTGCAGTTTTTACAGCACTGCAGAGGCTAGTATAAATCATCTCCAATTGGAACCAGTGGCTTAGAACAGGGGTTCTCCAACTTCATTGCATTGCGACCCCCTTCTGACAACAAAAATTACTGCACGAAGGAGGGAGGAGCAAAGTCCAAGCCCCACTGCCCTGTAACCTCTGTGGGCCTGTAACCTGATCTCTGTTGCCCAGGGCTGAAGCCAAAGCCTGAGCCCCACCACCCAGGGTTGAAGCTCTCAAACTTCGGCTTTGGCCCCACGTGGTGGGACTCAGGCTTTTGCTTCAGCCCCAAGCCCCAGCAAGTCTAATGCCATTAAAACAGGACCGCGACCCCATTAAAACAGAATCACGACCCACAGTTTGAGAACCCCTGGCTTAGAACTTTGAGTTTGTAAAATTTGTGCCTTGGTCATTCAAAGGAGCATGGACCCAAGAATGATGATCTAGCACAGCATGTATCTTTTGGGAACAGCAGTTATAGGTGCTGCTTCTTTTTCCATCTTTAAGACTATTTTTCTATAAATCTACATATTCCAGTTTATCACTGTGCAAAGAAGCAGTAATAGGGCTGCTTTTGGAATCTGTGAATGCCATCTCTAAAGAGGCCTTTGTGGTCACTCTATAGTGAAGTTTCCCTTGACAGCGCAGTGTGGAGGAGGGAAAGAGACTGAGGTTTGAGAATAAAACTCTAGTCTCTAGTAACATTGGCCATCAGGCTAGCTAAATAATGTAGTTTACATCTAGATCATATACAGTGGAGATCATTAAAATCTTGATGTTTACTGCTTGCCCTCGCAGCTTTTGTGAACTTTGGGGACAGCAGCCACATTGACAGCGTATACTGGAAGTTGGAGATAGGGCTGGCCATTTCCTCTTTTTGTTCTGAACAACTAATGCTACAGTACTTCCTTTTCTTCACCAGTGAGTGCTATGGGGAGTTCCATTCACTGTAAATTGTTTCTCTTCGGGTTTCACCTGCCTCTCATTGTTGTCACTAGTCAGGGAAAAGAAGGAATCCCGGGGCTTGGAGATGTGGGGAGACCATTTGGGGGCCACTGGGAGGACAAGAAAAACAACTGGTGGGGCAATAGGCAAGATTGGCATGGGGTTGAGGAGGAGATGAGAGAGAATATTTGTGGATAAAAAAATAAATATGGAAAGAACAAATAAGAAAGCCAGAGGGTTTTAAAGAAAAATTAAAACATTAAAAAAAGGATGGAATAATATCAGGAAAAAATAGGAGTACTTGTGGCACCTTAGAGACTAACAAATTTATTAGAGCATAAGTTTTCATCCACTTCATCGGATGCATAGAATGGAACATATAGTAAGATATATATATACACACATACAGATAAGTTGGAAGTTACCATACAAACTGTGAGAGGCTAATTAGTTAAGATGAGCTATTATCAGCAGGAGAAAAAAACTTTTGTAGTAATAATCAAGATGGCCCATTTAGACAGTTGACAAGAAGGTGTGAGGATACTTAAGGAAATAGATTCAATATGTGTAATGACCCAGCCACTCCCAGTCTCTATTCAAACCCAAGTTAATGGTATCTAGTTTGCATATTAATTCAACCTCAGCAGTTTCTAGTTGGAGTGCGTTTTTGAAGCTTTTCTGTTACAAAATTGCCATCCTTAAATTTTTTACTGAGTGGCCACAGAGGTTAAAGTGTTCTATATCAGGAAAAAATGTAAAGGAAAACGGGTGGGGGTGGGGAGGAAAGCATCAAGATAAAAATGAAGAGAGAGAAGAGAAAATAATTTGAGGACAGTGTCCTTTAATTCTGAGGGGGAAAGATTAGCTTAGTCAGTAATTTGATGCTTGCCATTTATCTGCTGCCAGCTGGTTCTCTTTTCCTCCCGTTGGCCCCCAAATGGTCTTTTGAGCCCTGTATATACTACAGGTATATGTGCAGCATACATCTTATCCTAACTGTAGAAAATTCAAAACAGCTTCTCCATTTTCTATGCACACTAAAAACAAAATTAAAATACGGACTAAGAGTTACATTTCCTTTTTTATTTACTTTAAGATGTAACTCTAAATTTAACTTTTTGAGGAAAAAATAGTGTACATACAATGCTGTAAAATGCAATGTTTTTTTTAGGTCCGCAAAAGAAGCAGAGGACAAAATAAAAAAGGCTTTAGAAAAAGGAGAAGTTCTCCCTACAGAAGCCAGGTTTGACTCCAATTGTATTACACCAGGTAGGAAAATGTGCTGGTTACTTACAGGAGAATTACTGTGATTACTCATTTTGCCTTTCTTTCATCTGATTTTTCAAAAGGATTTGTTCTGCTAAATCACGCGGGCACTTTTGAAAATCCCACCCAAATTTAGCATTTAAAACCTGAAAACTCTTCAAAAGTACACCTGCCACACTTTGCAAAAATAAATTGTTTTTTCTATCACTAATCACTAATATCCCTCATAAATGTATAAATGGAATTTTAAATAACTGTTAAAATGACAGTGTATCAGAAGATGTAACTTATAGATTTCTGTTACTAGGGACTGATTTCATGGCCAGGTTGCACGAACATCTGAAGTATTTTGTAAATATGAAGATTTCCACAGACAAATCCTGGCATGGCGTAACTGTCTACTTATCAGGCCACGAGGTTATTGTGTTTATATTACTGAATTTTTTAAAAAAATAGTATTTTGCAGAATAGTGTTTATTGAATTGTTTTATTTTTGCATTTAGACACCAGGTGAAGGAGAGCATAAAATTATGGAATTTATCCGATCAGAGAAAACAAAGCCTGATTATGATCCAAACACAAGACACTGTCTATATGGTTTAGATGCTGACTTGGTATGTGCAAATATATTTTATACTCATAATGACAAAAGGCTATTATGTCTGTGACTTGAGCATCTATTCAATATTTTGTCAGAATATATGACTATAAAACAAACAAGATTATTAAACAAAAAACTTTACATTTATGGCAAACTAAAAATTTACAATGCGGAACCACTGAGCATGGAAATATACTGACACTGGTCACTTCTTGAATAATATTAAACCCCTTCTTAATTTCTTATTTCCACAGATTATGCTTGGATTAACAAGTCATGAGTCACATTTCTCACTCTTAAGAGAAGAAGTCCGGTTTGGTGGCAAAAAATCCCAGAGGTAAACTGCTTCTAAAAATCTTATTTATAGGAAGAAAGGAGATCCAAAAGATGCAGGTTGTTTAGAATGTTTTCTTTAAATGACTGCATATTTAATCAGTCAGGTAATTGTTTTATTTTAATTTGATTATGAATGAATATTATAAACCCTGATAAATTTCTTTTATAAATATTAATATTTATGTTCATATTTGCCTGAATCAGCAATTAGAAAAAAAGTCTGAAATTTGGTGCTTGTGGAACCTAATAACAACTGAACTGCCAGAAAATCCTGAGAGCTATAGTGCACCACATTGTGCCTCTGGCTTTGTTCCCTAGGGCAGGCATCTCATACTATACTGATTCTATTTCCCACAATAGATTGTTCTTGTTCTTATAGATTCATTCATTAAAAAAACCAAAAACAAACCACAAGGGACTTGTCTACATGGGGAAATTGACCAGAATGGCAATTGAGGAATAAACTATTCCAGAATAGCTCCCCTCTGGACATTCTTATTCCAGAGTGTAGGAGTACCTTTTCCCAATTTCCTTTAATCTACAGATAAAGGTTAATCCCAGAAGATGGGGCCTTCTTCTGATTTAAGTGTCCACACGGGAAGCTATTCTGATCACTGTCCCCATGTAAACAGGTCCTGAAGTTCTTGGTGGTAGGAAAGGGGCAGGGTGGGCAGGAGACAGACTGTTCTCTCTCTCTCTCTATCTTGTATGTACAGGAAAGCTCTCAGATACTATGGTAATGAGAGCCATGTAAGTGCCTAAAGAGATACATAGCTCTTATTGATGTGCTCTAGCCAAGAACCCAAAATAAACTCAAGTGCAAAAGGACTAGACCAGGCCTTATAAAGTTTAAGGCCAGAAGGGACCCCAGATCATGTAGTCTGACCTCCTGTATATCACAGGCTCCAGCACTCACACACTAAACCCAGCAACCAAAATGAAACCAAGGTATTACAGCCCACAGGAGACTAAACAGTTGTGTATCACAGGCAGAGAATAGGAGGGACTGAGGTGCACCAAGGCCCCCACAATGACACAGAATTGATTAAGTGGGATTTATCCAGATGATCCCAGCAAGTGACCTGCACCCTTGCTGCAGAGGAAGGAGAAAAATCCCAAAGATCGCTGCCAAACTGGTCTGGAGGAAAATTCCTTCCTGACCCCACATATGATGATCAGCTAGACCCTGAGCACATGAGCAAGAATCACCCAGATTAGCACCTGAGAGAGAATGCTTGGTGCAACCTTAAAGTACTTAAAGTCCAGCATCTCATTTCCTGCTGTGGTCATTTCTGATATTACAGAGGAAGGAGACCAAACAAGCCCAAAGCCCAACCAAAATACATTGAGGAGAAGAAAAAGAAAAAACACCTTCCTGACTGTCTGAAGTCCTTATGCATTTATTCCCTTAACATGGAATTTCGGTGTTGCATAGGGCCCAGTTCACCAACCTTGCACAGGACTGGCTTTCACCCAGATAAACTTCAGAGGGAGGGTATTTTATATTCATAGCCTACTCCCAGGCCAAAATCAGCAGTGTGTGTATGGGTGCATCCACAGGCTTGTCCATGACAGGGGATCCCCAGCAATATTAATACTTATAAGTTATGAACCCTTCTAATATTCAGAGCACTTCACAGGTATTATCTAGTTAATCTTATCAAATCTTCAAAGTAGGTAAATAAAGATTTTTCACATTTTACTAGTGGGAAAGTTGAGACACAAATCATATACTGAGTCAATGTCATAGCCAGGATTAGAGCGCAGGAATTCTCAATTACCATACCTGTGCTGAATCCACTGGACCACACTTACTTTTCCAAACTGAGCATCTCCATTTTCTGAAAAGCAGACTTCTTCAAACACTTATGTGCTTAATTTTGAAGTCCCTGACAGTATTCACATGCTTAAAATTTAGCAAGAGTGTAATTTGCTGGATTAGAGTCTGAATCTCTGCTGCTTTTTAGAACACTTCCTGAGTAGCCAGTAAGGCAAAATTATATTATTGAAGCAGAGTCTTTGTAAAATGCAATTAGTATTTATTTGCTCCTGACAACAAGTACTCAGACGTCATAATCTTTAGCAATGCAGCAAAATAGATAATAGCTGAGTACTTATTTTTGGATAACTATAGTGGACTATTATATACACACTTCAGAAATATTTATAAATAGTTGATTTCATGGTTTGAATAATTTTCAGAGCATGTGCCCCAGAAGAAACCACATTTCACTTACTGCACTTGTCATTAATGAGAGAATATATTGACTATGAATTTTCACCAGTAAAAGTAAGTATTAATGAAACCATGGGCAAAAGATGTTACAACTTTGTATACAAACTTGATCATAAAGATTTTCTTATTTTTTTAGGTCAAGATTTCCTTTCAATATGACATTGAAAGGATAATAGATGATTGGATCTTAATGGGGTTTCTTGTAGGCAATGACTTTATTCCTCACCTACCTCATTTACATATTAATCATGATGCGCTGCCGCTACTTTATAAAACATACATGGCTATCCTGCCAGAACTTGGAGGTAAGTAGTTTTAAAAAAATATTTAAAGAGAAACATACTTATTAGTTCTGGAACAGAAATCAAAGGAAAGGTTAAACTGAAGTGTTGCCTATATAGACCTTACTGGTATTACAGTATTGTTTCATAGCACTTGCTGAAGTGTGATCTAGTCAATGTCTTTTTGAATCTGGTTCCATGGGTATTAACACTTTTTCACAGCATTATTGTTTGTTGCTATTGGCCTGGCAAGAATAAAAAAAAGATACAGGAAAATGATGGTAGGGGGCAAAGACCACAATGATATGGGTGACGTCTCATATTGCTTTCTCACCGATAAATCTGTGAGCTACCAAAACTTTTTGTCACTCGCCCCAGAATGCTTACATGATATATCAGTTTTATTACTGATATCTTATTATTTTCAAGATTAGTTTTTATGGGAGAGCTATATTTACTTTTTCCAATGTGGCTGTCACAAGTTATAAAGTAGATCTATAAACTGTAGTTTTTGAGATTATATGTTTAGTGGGTAGCATGGAGAAACCACATGTAAATAAGTAGACTTTAGATGAGAGTATTGTATCCAATCTGAATTGGGAGAACAAAGAAAGTATAGCATAGCATCTTTAAAATATTAAGAAATTGCAGAGGGTTAATGGTGTTTCAGGCCTCCAGTGGGACCGTGGATGGAGAAAACTGGATGGGGTAATGGGTGAAGAGAAGGAGTTTTCTATGGCCTGCTTGTGGAAACTAAAATATGAAAGATTGTAGTGTCTAGGCTTCAGTGGGACAATATTCAGGTGGGAATGTTCAGTTTCAATCCTATATGCACTAATTGGTCAACAGTTAACAAATTATTATGAAGAGTTTTAGAATGTACATTAACGTCAGTTATTTGAAAGTAAGGATATTTAATTTTGTTGCTGTTAGATTTGATTGGCATCGTCAGCAGAGTGTATATGATGTGTTAGAAACCTTTGCAGTTTTACTGGAGAAGATTTTATTGGGTGCCTAAAAAAGGGGGTATTATTGCACACAGAACTTTAAGTGAGTTTTAGAAACATTTCAATGTAAGACTTTACATACATACACGATATTTTCCCCAATAGGCTACATTAATGAAAGTGGGCATCTGAACTTACAACGCTTTGAGAAATATCTTACAAAATTGTCAGATGTAAGTAACCTTTATTTGTACTGTGTATATGTTATAGGGCTGCCCATCACTATAATGTCTGAGTACCTCATAGTTTTAAAAATACGCAATCAAAATACAGTCTTCATAGTGAGTTCAAGCCTCCTATTTTGGACAAAAGCTAAAGTGCATTCACTCAAGGAGCTATCTCACTGCTCCATAGAGGATTAAATCTATAGAACTCTTGACAATTAGCATCAGCTAAGAATCTGCCCCTGAATCTTTTACAGAATGACGCTATGGAAATTTATATTAGTTGAGGATCTGTCCCTCAGTTTTATATAAAAGCCTTATTTAAATATGCCTTGAACTTTAGTAAGGAAAGCACCATACTCTAGCTCTGATAAACCACTAGATGGAGCAAATTCTGTAGATGAGGTCCCTGCTGCCAGTTATAGTTTTGTTGCACCGTCCAACCAATTGTCATCTGATCTGATTGTCATAATAGATTTTGGGGAGAGAGGCAGAAAATTAAGTAATTGGCTTTAGATTATAACCATTATCTTATATTGCACCTGAAATCAAATGTGGAATCAGTTTAGAGTATGGAAGTGTTAGATGCTCACAAAAATGGGCAGCAGCAATCTGCACCAGCTGAAGCAATCCAGGTGGCTTTCAACGGCCAGCCCCATTATGGTACATTGCAGTAATCTGTCCTATGACAAAAGGCATGGACCATAAAAATGTGGATAAGGTGTTTTCTGCAAATGAACAATTAACCCACAAACTATTGACATTTTATAATGTACCTAATCATAAGGTGGTACATTATCTCACATGGGTGAGATTCCAGAGGACCGGAAAAGGGCAAATATAGTGCCCATCTATAAAAAGGGGAATAAGGACAACCCGGGGAATTACAGACCAATCATCTTAACTTCAGTACCCGGAAAGATTATGGAGCAAATAATTAAGCAATCAGTTAGCAGACACCTAGAAGATAATAAGGTGATAAATAACAACATGGATTTGTGAAGAACAAATGGTGTCAAAAGCTTTCTTTGACAGGGTAACATGCCTTGTGGTAAGGAGGGAAGTGGTACATGTAGTATATCTTGACTTTAGTAAGGCTTTTGATACTATCTTGCATGACCTTCTCATAAACAAACTAGGGAAATTCAACCTAGATGGAGCTACTATAAGTTGGGTGCATAACTGGTTGAAAAACCATTCCTAGAGTTATCAGTGGTTCACACTGATAGGGCATATTGAGTGGGGTCCTGCACGGATTGGTCCTGTGTCTGGTTCCATTCAGTATCTTCATCAGTGATTTAGATAATGGCATAGAGAGTATACTTATAAAGTTTGCAGACAGTACCAAGCTGGGAGGGGTTGAAAGTGCTTTGGAGGATAGGATTAAAATTCAAAATGATCTGGACAAACTAGAGAAATGATCTGAAGTAAATAGGATGAAATCCAATAAGGACAAATGCAAAGTACTCCACTGAGGAAGGAACAATCAGTAGCACACATACAAAATGGGAAATGACTGCCTAGGAAGGAGTACTGCAGCAAGGGATCTGAGGGTCATAGTGGATCACAAGTTAAATATGAGTCGATAGTGGAAAACTGTTGTAAAAAAAGCAAACATCATTCTGGGCTATCTTCACAGGAGGGTTGTAAGCAGGACACAAGAAGTAATTCTTCTGTTCTGCTAGAGATGTAAGTATCCGTTTAAAAAGTTAACCGTTTAAACTATTACAATTATATCATTTAAATGGATAACTGATTAAAGGGAGAGGGGCTGAGGCCCCTGCAGCCCCGGCATGGCTGGGGCTGGCCCTCGCCGGCCCATGCAGCTGGCCCGGGGCTGGGAGCTAATGGTTAAGGTCGGTTAACCAGTAAGACTAATGTTTTAACTGTTTGACCATTTAGTATTTTACATCCCTATGCTCTACTCCACACTAATTAGGCCTCAACTGGAGTAGTGTGTCCCGTTTTGGGCTCCACATTTCAGGAAAGATGGGGACAAATTAGAAAAAGTCCAGAGATGAGGGGGAAAAAAAATGATTAAAGGTCTAGAAAACATGACCTGTGAGGTAATATTGAAATAATAGGGTTGTTTAGTCCAGAGAAGAGAAGACTGAGGGTGACCATAACAGTTTTCAAGTACATAAAAGGTTGTTACAAAGAGGAGGGAGAAAAATTGTTCTCTTTAACCTCCGAGGATAGGACAAGAAGCAATGGGATTAAATTTCAGCAGGGGCAGTTTCGGTTAGAAATTAGGAAAAACTTCCTAATTGTCAGGGTGGTGAAGCACTGGAATAAATTGCCTAGGGAGGTTGTGGAATCTCTGTCATTGGAGATTTTTAAAAGCAGTTTAGACAGGGATGGTCTAGATCAGTGGTCACCAACCGGTCAATCACGATTGACTGGTCGATCCTAGAGGATCTCCCAGTCGATTGAGATTTCCGGTGGCACAGCGGAGCTGCCGCTAAGGCAGGCTCCCTGCCTGCCTTGGCCCCACACTGCACCTGGAAGCGGCCAGCCCAGCCCCGGGATCGGGGGGGCAGGGTCTCCCTCTGCGTGCTGCTCCTGCATGCAAGCACCTCCCCCACCGTTCCCATTGGCTGGGAATGGAGAGCTGTGGCCAAGAGGAGGTACAGGGATGGTGCTTTCATAGAGGGGCAGCATGCGGAGCCACGTGCCACTCCACCCCACCTCCCCAGGGGCCACAGGGGCGCTTTGGCCTCTTCCGGGATCGGCGTGGGGCCGGGGTAGGCAGGGAGCCTGCCTTAGCGGCAGGCACACTGCACCACTGACTGGGAGCTGCTGGAGGTAAGTGCTGCCTAGCAGGAGGCTGCACCTGAGCCCCATCCCAGAGCCTGCACCCCAGACCAGCCCTGAGCCCCCTCCTGGAGCCAGCATCCCATACACCCTCCTGCACCCCGAATCCCCTTCTGCACCCAAGCCCCAGCCCTGACCCTCTTCCCAGAGCCAGCACCCACACCCACTCCTGCACCCCAATACTCTGCCCCACCCCGACCCCCTCCCAGAGCCAGCACCCTGCACCCCCTCCTGCACCCCAACACTCTTCCCTAGTCCAGAGCCCCCTCCTGCACCCCAACTACCTCCCAGAGCTTGCACCTCTCACCCCCTCCTGTACCCCAACCCCCTGCCCCAGGCTCAGCCCAGAGTCCCCTCCCACACTGCGAACCCCTCAGCTCCAGTCCAGAGCCTGCACCCCCTACCCCAGCCCGGTAGAAGTGAGTGGGGGTGGGGGAGAGCAAGTGACGGAGGGGCTGGATGGAGTGAGTGGGGCGGGGTTTTGGGGAAGGAGCGGGGTAGATCCTGGGTTGCTCTTAAATTCAAAAAGTGATCCTGGGCTTAAAAAGGTTGGAGACCACTGGTCTAGATAATACTTAGGGTTGCCTTGATCTCTTGAGGTCCCTTCCAGTTCTGTGATTCTGTGATATTGTAGGATGGATAATATAATTCAAAAATAGTCTAATTTCTCTAAACTGTTTCAGGTTACAAGAAAAAGAAAAAGTAGGTTTTCAATACACATTTTCTGCCTGTATGATAAGAGGTGGTTCATGTTAGACTGCCTCAGCTCGTGGGTTAAACATTCATGTGCAGATAACATTTTATGTAATCTAATGCAACTCTTACAGATGACAAAAGTGGCTTGCATGTTTTGTTCCATATGCTACAGTGTTCATTCAGCAATAGTTTACATTGCCTTTAAAATAATTGTTCTAAATTTACTTTAATCTCTGTACCCAGTTTGATCGTGAACATTTCAGTGAAGTCTTTGTAGACCTAAAATGGTTTGAAAGCAAAGTAGGCAATAAATACCTCAATGAGGCAGCTGGTATTGCAGCAGAAGAAGCAAGAAGCCATAAGCAAAAGAAACAGAAGGTTGGTATTTTAAATGTATAGCTCTGAAAATGTAGAAATACTCAGCTGTTTGTCAAAATGTATGAGTAAATATCTGTTAAATTATTTTTTAAATCTCAGACTATTAAATGTTGTGGTCTTCTATATTTTTTATTTCTGGCTTTTTAGAAATCAGAAATGATGGGGAAAATGTAATATTTGTGGAGCGATATATCTGTCTTATACATACTTATACATTCATGTGCACTTTCCATTGCTACTTTTCTCAAATTAAGCACTTTTTTTTTTAAATAAAAGACAGAAATCAGTGTGTCTTTCCAGCAGCTGCTATTGAACATAATTCAGAGGGAGAAGTCATACTGTGAAATTTAGTCTTGGCAGCTCAGAAGATGGGTGTATCAGTCAGATGTTTGATGCTGATTAAGTAAATAGCTTGCTCCATCAGAGCTGATATCTTAGATTTTACATCAAGATGGCAACACTGTGAATTCATAATTTTAATAGGTTCAAGAAAACTCCATGTGTTTGGCTGCTCTAGAGAAAACCGAGGATGGAATCACGACTTCTTCTAAAAGTAAGTACAAATTATTATGCAGCATACGTACAACAGAACCCTGATGATCTGTACAAATATTTGGGAAACCAGTTGTGAATTGGTAAGGAAGTGCAAACAAATACAACTTTAAAAAATAACAGCAATATATTTTTTCCTAGTAACCTGTGTGGGTGAGGACAAAATAATGGATTTGTTTGTGTGTTTGTATTTTAAAACTAGTCCAAAGCACCTAGATAGGATATGTAATTTTTTTCATTTATAAATTGAAATATACCAGTCAATTTATAAAAACAATGTATTTTTAGTGATATTAAAAGTCACTGTTTTGCCATTTTTTGGTTCAAATTATAAGTGTGCAGATTATTATTTTCTGACAGCATTTAGCCTGCTCCCATAAGTTTTTTTTTGGTCACAGAGCACATCATGGCAAATTGTATAATCTTTACATCCTTTGACCATTTGCAGACTCTTAATCCAGTAAGGTTTTGAACTGAATGGTACATGTTTTATTGTTCATTCTCCTCCTGTACAGAAAGGAATATTTCTCCTCAACTGTGAATTCAGAAATAAAACTACAGTAACAATGTCAACACTGAACAGTCTGAAATCTTTTGGCTAAGAAATGAATGTTAATCCAGTCTATTGGCTTCATTTCAGATGCATTGGAAGATGAACAAGAAGATGAAGACCTGTTTGAGACTGAGTTCAGGCAATACAAGAGAACGTATTATATGACTAAGATGGGTGTGGAAGTAGTTTCAGAGTAAGTCTATACTGAGCTTGCTTTCACTTTTTAAAATACAGAAGAGAAGTCTCTTAAGGTATGTCTATACTGCAATTAAAAATCTGTGGCTGGCTGGACCAGCTGACTGGGGCTTGCGGAGCTCAGGGTAAGGGGCTGTTTAATTGCCTGAGCTCTGGAACCCTCCCACCTGCAGAGTCCTAGAGCCCGGGTTCCAGCCCAAGCCCGGACTTTTACACCTTAATTAAACAGCCCCTTAGCCCAAGTCCCACGAGCCCAAGTCATTTGCATGGGCCAACTGCAGGTGTCTAATTGTAGTGTTGACATACCGTCAGAATCTGGAATCTAAGGCAGCATATCCAGTCCTCAGGAGTGGAGTTCTTGGTGTTAAACTATAGCCATGACACTTCTTTTCATATCAGCCAGAGGTATTAGTCAACTAAGAAGTTTGCCATGATAAGCCCTCCTGTGCCAGAAGGAAGATCCATTGATATGACTCCAAAAGGGGCCCAGAAGACCATGTAGTTGCTAATTGCTCAAGAAGCTTTCCCTTGAATCATATATAAGTAAAAAGTAAATAAATAAAGAAAGAACTCAATACTTAACATTTCTTTCTTTTTTAAGTGACTTCCTGGCTGATCAGGCTGAATGTTATGTCCAGGCAATACAGTGGATTTTGCACTATTACTACCATGGGGTTCAGTCATGGAGCTGGTAAGAGAATGAATGTCAGATGAGAGATCCTGAGTTGTGTTGGGATCAAGTGAACTTTGAGTAATATATTGGCACCATTTAATTATGTTTGTTTGCCTCTCTACTGTGGATGTTGCAGTACTGAAATGAACTCAAATAACTTTTTTTTATTCCGGTAGGTATTACCCTTATCATTATGCACCTTACCTATCAGACATTCGCAACATCAGCAAACTCAAAATCCAGTTTGAGTTAGGAAAACCTTTCATGCCATTTGAACAGCTTCTTGCAGTACTTCCAGCAGCTAGCAAAGATCTGCTACCTAAATGTTACCAGGTAGGCTTTATAATTTTATCTTTACCAGTTTTATCATATACCTATTATTTTTTAAATAAGAAACTTTCTTCTGCTATCTTTTCTGTTCCTGTTGTCAAACTGAGCTTGACGTTTAGATTGTAATTATATGATTTCATAGCATAAAATTTACTAAATTATTCTAATACAATCTTTGGATGCACAATGTAATTTCTGAATGAAGGCAGTTAAACTATCAGTTCATTCCAGTTTAGCCTTTACTTTGATTTAACATCATGCCCCACTTGTTTTGTCACCCTAGGGTGAATCTTAAATTGTCTATGAAAATGTAGCTAGACTGAATTCCCCTGTTTTATTGCTTTCTGATTTTCTAGCATTTGATGACTAGCGAAGATTCTCCAATCATAGAATACTATCCTCCAGACTTTAAAACAGATTTAAATGGAAAACAGCAAGAATGGGAAGCAGTAGTATTAATCCCATTTATTGATGAGGTGAGTGTTTTCAACTCATGGAAAAAAAGGTGTAACCAAACCCAGACAAACTCTTGCATAAGTTACAGTTAAGATTGTAAATAGATAAGTGTAAATTGGCATATGATTAGGACATTGAAAAATGTAAACATGTTGCCTGGAAATTCAGAATTAAGCTTAAAGTTTAAAATATAACGTTCTTAATTCAGAAGACTGGTAGTTACATTTCTACAAGCAACCTTAGCTTTGGAAGGAGTAGTAATTTAAACTTGAAAAATTAGCTTTCTCTGATTGTTGGCATTGTAAGTACGTGGCTTGTTTTAGTTTGAAATATTTTTTCCCATAAAGACTCCTTATTTTTTCATAAATATACCAATGTACAAAAAAAGCAGCTTGGACAAAATCTATATAGTAGAAAAATCACTTGATATGAACAAACAGTAATGGGCAGAAGACTTTAAAGGGAAACATTTAAAATTTCAATTTAGTTTAAAGTATTTGTCATTATTTTTAAAGCAAAGGTATAAGAAATAGAATGATCAGGGTTTGGGGATTTTTTTTTTCTTTCTCTTCTTTTTTTTTTTTGTGCATACAAGGTAACAATTGACAGCATATCAGTTTGAGCCAGTCAAAGAATGAAAGAAATTATCATCATCATAACAGGGATACCCAGAAAGGAAAATAATAAGTAGAGAAAGAAGCAGAGTGGAGTCATGAAGGCTCAGGTCCTGCACTGAGAACTGGAGGGCTTTGCGTGGTTCTCAGAGCACGACTGGGGGCCTTGATGAATTTCTGAGATATGGGGAGCAAATGACTGTTCACATGGGGACTATTATATGGAAGACCTAGGGGAATATAATGATTATACATATGAGTATCTGCATCTACAGTAGTCATTACACGATTTCTGTGAGGTCTACAGCCTGTTACCTGGCATTGTCCAGCAGAATCTGTTCAGGTTTTGTTATGTATGTTAAATTTAAACTGGAAGAGGATGAAGTACATTTTACATTATGGCAAATTTGTGTCCAGTTTTCATGCCCCAGAGAGATTCCAAGTTAATCATTTTATTTTGTTCTAAACGGGAGCAGGATAAAAAGCGGGAAGCACTTATCCACTAGTTATGTTGTCCAGCAAAGTGCAGATATCCACCTGCCTTGGTGATAAATTTTTGAAGTGAGAAGGCTGGGATGGTTGACTTGAATAGCAGATGCAGTTTTTAAGTAGAGTGGGAAGCTTGAGTCAGGAAGTTTGTACTTTTTTCCTTTGAAATATTTCAGATTGGTCATCTCACTTTGACCACGAGTGTTAAAAAATTTAACTACCAGTGGAATTTTTAATTTAGAAACGATTGCTACAAGCCATGGAATCTTGCAACAAGTGCCTATTGGAAGATGAGAAGCGAAGAAATACTCACAGTGAGTGCCTAATGTATTGGTATGACAAAGACACAGAGTTCAAATACCTATCACCATGGCCAGAGAAGTTCCCTGCTATACAAAGATGCCACACCAGGTAATTCTGTAGTAATTATTCTATAGTAGATCAACCAAAAAATATTTGGATAACCTGTTTTTAGAATTTTGATATTTTTCCCTAGCGTTTTAGCCACAGCATCTAACGATGGGTACAGAAACAGTAAAAACAGACACTTAATTGTGCTGCCCACGATGAATGATAATAGTCATTGCTAAAAGCCAGATTTTGCAAAACAAATTAGCCAGATGCTAAACCACATACCTTACATAATGGTCTGCAGGTTTGGTGACTCTCAGGGCACTAGGGGAAGCAGATTCCCAAGGTGGGATGCTCCGAGAGCCTTGCTACCAGTCTTACGAAGGTAAGACCCAGGATATGATCTCAAGAGCATACCAGAGAATCTCACTGTGACAGTGAGGTATAGGGTGAGGACTGTGAGAAGAATGATGTAAATACATGGGTAGAGGTGGTTCCTCAGCAGACCAGTTCTAAAGTACCAGAATGTTAAAGATTATTACTAGCATTTTGAATTGTGCTTTTGAGCTCAGGTGTTAAGTGATTTATTTGCCTCACTCAGGAAACAGACAGCTGTACTTATGAATTGGAGCTTCTATGTGATCCTTAGGGATAGCCCTAAAAAAATATTTTGCAATAGTCTAGCTTGGAGGTAGTGAAGGCAAGGAAGTATTATTGCAAGGTTCCAATTAGAGAGGAATGAAGATGAACCTTAGATGATGAAAGGTACCATGTGCCACCTTTATTAGCTTAAATTTTGCAATAACGATGAATCTAATAAGATTCTAATAAAATATTTGGTTAAAAGGCTAGTATTACACTCTCTATAAAGTATGTATATACTGTTTACACCTATTGCTCCTATTTCTTCCTCTGGCCAGCAGACACTACTTCAGTTTTATCTGAACTGAGTCATGGCAAGCTGCCTTTCATCCATATCCCTATTTTGCTCATGCACAGAGAAAGAAATGAGCCAGTAACCTCTCTGGTTGATGAGCAGTCAACACAGCTGAGTATATCAATGACCCAGAACTGAGTCTCACTCTCCTAGCACCTTTACATACTTATTGAAACAGTGGGATAACAAGATTGGGCTCCACAAGTGAGGGCCTATAGGGAGGCTTTTAGTTGCCCAACAATACTTGATGGGACCTCAGTGTGTGCACGCACCTATTGAAGGAGTACTTCATTCACTGCTACAAGATCCTGCAGGCTTGTTGTCCTTGCATCAAGGTTAATTAAATTAAAAGCTATTAATAGATCTATTAAAATCAACATGAATTCCATACCCTTATCTATTGTTAGAAGGAGATAATCCATGGATAACAGTCTATGTTCCAGTCATAGTCAAATACAATCCCAACTTGATAAGATTCAAAGAAATTGCTCGAATTAACTCATCATTACTTCTTGATAACCTTTTAGAAAAATCAGAGAGATGGCAATTACTGAGATTGTTAATGTCCAAAAATGGTTTCTTGAGCATGGGCCTAACCAATGATTGTTTAAGCATGACTGACAGTTTGCTCAACAAAGAAGCCCATTTTTTATTATGATTATTAACATATCTTTTAACTGGCTTTAATTATCCATGAAGGACATGAGATCATGTTTAAAGAGAGATTTTTTTAGGAAGAGTTTGAAAGCAGTTTTCTCCAGTCCACATGTTGAGAACTAACTTTTCCTTGATATCATGATATTCTTTGGTGAAGCTGTTTTAGTAAATACATTGTTTTTATTAGTATTTTTATTTTCTAGGTATAAAACAATATCTTTGGATGCCTGGCATGTAGAAATAACCCACAATAAAATAACTAAAGTTAACAAGAGCGCATTGTATTTTTGTGGGTTTCCTACTCTAAAACACATTGCACATGAGGTAAATGATTACTGTACTTTGGCATTTCCTCCCAACTATTTCACAAATTATTAGGGAAAGATTTGACATAGGTTTCATGTGCTGTCTTTCTCTCATCTAGTTCTGTCTTAAAAAAAGTGGGGTACAAGTATTCCAGCAGAGCAGCCATGGTGAGAATATGCTGTTAGAAATCATAAGTGACAAGGATTCAAAAGAGCAGGTAAGTATCTCTCTTCCTAATGACAGTCTTAATTATGCACTGTATTAATTAAATATGCCCAATGAGAAGTTAAGGTTAGGTTATTTTTATCACCTTTGTGTTGTGTTATCATAGGAGAAACTCAAAGGAAAAAGTACATACAGTGAAACTTGCCCTAGGGACCACCTCTCATAGGCAACCCCGTGTCTTAAGTAACCAATTTAAATTGTTACCAAAATATTTGGTATAATTTTTTTCAGTCCCTCTTAGGCAACCAGTAATGTTTGGCTTACACATGGAGCTTTGCATAAATGTATTGCACTCTAATTTTTGCAAAATAAGTTTCCCTTACATTTGTACAGAGGGAGAAAGTGTGAGATACACAGAGGCTGTTTCATGCCCAAGGCCAGAGAACAAATCACTAGAGAAGCTGGAATTAGAACTCCTGGAGTTCTTGTCTCTCAGTCCCAGGCTCAGACCTTTAGGTCATATTGCCTTCTCATTTCTACTAGCTCTTCAAGTAGTCTCATGACAGGTTTCACTGTACATTTGGAAATTGTTACCTTTATAAGCTCACAGAAAAAAACCTTTAATAAAAGGCACTGTAGTCAACAGTAAAAGAGATTAAATGATAAAGGCTGAGGTGGGGGAGGAGAAATTAGGGCGATTAAATGTACTGGGGTAGTGGGAATCTGTTGAAGGATTTGGATTTTGTCCCAATTTTAAAATATTGGAGGTTACTAATGCTAACTGCAAGGGTATCTACACAGCTCATGAAAGTGAACCTCCTAGCCTGGATCACAGACTTGGGCTTGTGGGGCTCGCACTACTGCACTGAAAATAGCTGTGTAGATGTAGCAGCTCAGGCTTTGAAGCCTGGGGAGAATGGTGGGCTCCTGTAAGTATACAATAAGTATCAGAATTCAAAGTGAATGTGTTAAAAGCTCTTAAGGCTTTTCATTGTGTATCACAAGATAAACTGCTACCACTTTCAAATTAGAATTTTTTATTATAGCAAATAATGCTTTCATGTTTATTTCATGTTTTATAGACAAATATTGCAATAATTGTATTTGTTTGATAGAATAACTGAAGTAGAGTAACTTTTATTTTTCAGTCTGTAGAAAATGTAGCCAGTTTGGTGCTTGGAAAGTCTGTTTTTGTTAACTGGCCACACCTTGAAGAAGCCAGAGTTATTTCTGTGTCAGATGGAGAAACTAAGTAAGAACAATTGCATGGAAAGTTGTCTGCCTATGTTGTTCATTTACTTTCCCAAATGTTCCAAAGGCTACACAGTAATCAGACTGTTTTTTAAAAGCAGTGATTCAGAGTGCACTTAGATTAAATTACTTATTTAAAAGGGGCAGGGCATCTCAGGGCAGCTGCTAGAAGAGGAAGCTCTGTTTTAACATGGTTCTTGGGGCTTGGATAGTTTTATGGAGGCATGGATCTCCATTGTTTCCCTCAAGATCTGTGGGACAAACTCCATGTTTATTCTAATGGGAGAGGCTCTCTCACAAATAAACCTGGACAGAATAATTTGAGGGAAACTGCCAGGGGAATCTCTTTGCAGAGTTTTCCTCTGCACACCCCATGCAGGTTTTTCACAAGTGTGGGGTAATGTGGCCTGTTAAGTGGGTTGATGTGGAATGGAAACCATCCTATAAATCTTGAAAAAGAGCAAATATATTTTCTAACTAAAATAAGTTCATTCATAATTAGTTAAGTGCAGATCTATCTGTTGCAGTTAATTATACACTTACAATATCTTTAAGGTTTTATTTGGAAGAGCCACATGGAACACAGAAGCTTTACCTGGGAAACGCTGTGCCACCGACTAAAGTGGCATATGTTGGAGAGAAAGAACAGAACATCTGGTTGAAAGAAGTTCAGGGGATTTCAGAACAGTAAGTAGTTAGAAAATTAAATTTTGTAATTTTGCTGTTTAAAGCTCAGCTTCTTTTTGTTGCTTCATTATGGATTTAGTTAGAAGACTAGGGCTGTTGCATACATGATAATAAAGGATGCCAAGCTAGTGAATGAGGGTGTTGAAAGATTAAACACAGTCACTTAACAATTACTTCTCCCATAATGGCATCTAACTTTGTAAACTGAACTGTTTTTTATTAGCAGTGTTGACTAATAATTCTCCTGACCAGTCACCTCCATGATGCATTTGAAGGAACAGTTGAAACTCCCACTTCTCTTCCTGTAGTTGCAGCAACACTCAGCAATCCTTCCAGAGGTTCCACCACTCTTCCTTCATTCACTGCACTCTGGGGCTTCCCAAGGCTTTCAGAAATGCATGCATTCTCTGCATATGAGAGAAGTCTGCATGCAGTGCAATTTGAATGGATCCACAGCAGCTGAACCCCCTGTAGAAGTTACTGAATCCTACTGCATATTTGCTGTAAACAGTGGAGAGGGAAATGAGTTTGTGATCCCTATCCCACTCTGAAGATCGTTGGAGCACAGTAGGTGTTCCTAGGAGGACTGTTGGTCAGGTCTTTCAACGATATGGGGTTCAGGTGCCCATGCAGCAGCAAGATGATTTATTGTATACTGACATGCAGAGTGGATCAATACATTGACACCTTTGGTATCGTAACTTAAAATTTTCCTTTTTTTCTGGAGCCCAGTCTCTCCCACAATTCTTGATGTCTGGACTGCTCCACTCTCTCTGAAGCTCATGGAGGTGGAGCAGAATTTTGGAACCGCATGATCTGGCCACACCCCCTCAAGTCCTGCTTGCTTCCAGTTTTTTTACCTCTGTGTGGATGGCAGTATTTTTCAACCTTTACATATGCCCCAGGGGTTTCTGGTCAAAATTTGGTATAGTGGTGAGCAGCCCTCCCACCCTCTCCTCTGCCCTAGGCCAGTTTTTTAGCTGGATGTTGGAATCCCCCAGAGCCTCAGCTGCAGTGCCTCCCTTCTGGCTCATGTGCGCATCCAGGTATGGAAGAGCAGCCTAAAAAGCACTGATTGAAATCCAAACAGTGCTCCATCTGAGACTGCCCTCCCAGGCTTGGCAGATAGTGTGTTGTGCCCAATCTGCACCCAGCCTTCCGTTACTAACTCTGTTAGATTCCAAAGCTATGAGTGGGACAGTCATGTAGGATCCCCTGCCCACCAGAGCAGATGAGACTCTAATGTGGGAAAAATGGACCTGGAGTCTATGGGAAGAGTTGGGAGAGTGTTCAAGGATGAGGAGGATCCAAGTCAGATTACTCAAGGCTTAAGTTCCAAGGAGCCCTTGAAGACCAGAGAAGGCTTGTGGGTTCACAGATCCTCACCCCAAGTCCCAAAGTGGGTGCTGAGCACTGTGGGAAAAGAAGTAGGGTTATAAGCACCCCCCCCTTCCCAGTTTTCCTACAAGGAGGGCCCTGGAAGCGTTTCCCCTCTCCCTTCTGGGAGGGGATGGGATCCAGGAGGACTCCGAAAGAAATGTCACAAGGGGACTTCAGGCCCTCAGCAATCTAGCTGCAAAAGGCCTCATCAAACCTGCGATGGGGCTCATATGTTCTCTAAATGAGCTAAAAACACTTTAAAAAAAATAATTAAAAAAAAGACAAATTGAAAAAGATGAAGAAAAACCTTAAAGGATCTTGGAGTTGTGAGTCCTCTGATTACTCTTCCTCCTTCCTCTCTTCCACAGAGGATAGTAAATTGTCAGGCTCTGATTCCAGTCAGGACCAGGGAAAGACTCAGCAAAGGATTGTTCCCCTCTGAGAAATTTGAGACCCTGTGCAACAAGGTTGTTGTATCCACTATTCAGATTCAACCTGAACAAAATACTAAGAGTAAGCCTCTAAGGAAATTTTTCCCCTTGAAATCCTCACCTGATACCATGATTCCCCTACATTCCTCCTTCAAGGAAGTAGTCAGGAATGAATGGGATAGGCCAGACACAGGCAAGCACATTAACAGAAATGATCTTTGCTTCTATTGGATCCAGGAATCAGAAGTCTGAATTACTGAGATACCAAAGGTTGACGCTGCTGTGGCATCCCTGGCTAACAAAATGGTTATCCCGTCAGAAGAGGAGTTCTATCCTAAGGACCCCACAGATAGAAAAATGGAGGCCCCTCTCAAAAATAGATTGAGGCCTCCTCAGCCTCTTGCAAGTTGTCCTTAGCAGCTATTTGTGTTGCAAAGCCTCTCTCTCCTGGCTGGAAAATCTCAGAGCCCTCAAGAATAGATCACCTTGACTTCAGCTCTATTTTAAATAAAGGTTCCTGGGCAACAGTATTCATTGCTGATGCCTCAAAGGACATGATGAGTTCTCAGCCAAAGCCATGGCCTCCAGCCCCATGACCAGGCACCATCTGTGACTTTGTCCCTGGAAGGTGAATAGCTAATTGAATCAGGTTCTGTGCTCTGCTGAATTCATGGGCGGCCTGCTTTTTGGAGACAAGCTAGATAAGGTAGTGGTGGACAGTGCCTCAAAATCTAAACAGTCTCTTCTGAGGCCACAACATGCCTGTGAGAGACTATAGACTGGCCTTCTGACAAAGGCATTTGTTTCAGCCTTCGTCCTGGCAGAAATATCAGTGATGCGAGAGCAGGTTCTCCAGAGGAACTATGGCTTGGGAGAAAAGCCCTGAGCCCTGCCACTCCCAAAGCCTCTTTATGACAAAGACCACATAGTTCTCTGCCCAGAGCTGAAACTAGGGGGCAGGATTTCACATTTCCTTCAACCATGGGACCAGTGGGTCAGGGAGACTGAGAGTCAGGATACTTCCTCAAGTTATGGGGTCCACCCAATCTATTTTTCATCCAGTCCGCCATCTCGAAAAGCATGGTCTAATCCAGAATGAGATATTTCACTTCCCCGATGTGGGAGTAATAGAGAGTGTTTCCTCAGAAGAAAGATTATCAATGTTCTACTCCAACTTCTTTATTGTTCAGAAGCATACAAGGGGAATCTGAGCCATTCTACATCCCAAAAGGCTCAACAAGTGGATGAAGAGAATGAAGTTCTGGATGGAAACCCTAATCTCTATGGTGTTATCCCTGTCCCAGGGGGATTTTATGACTTCTGGTGCCAGATTCTGGTGGATGCATACCTCCAAATCCCAATCAGACTGTGCCATCGTGGGTTCCTAAGGTTTCCTTACAGCAGGAAGCACCATCAATATTGAATGCTGCCATTTCGCTTGTCCTCAGGCTCCCTCTCCTTCTCCCCAGTCTTCACAAAGAAGTTGGTGGTAATCATACTCAGACACAGGTCACAGGGGATCCACCGTATCCCTTCCTGGATGACATCTTAATCAGAGCTCCACGTTAAGCAACAGCACACAGAGCTATGTCCCTGACCTTGACACTCTTGCAAGCACATGGCTTTATTATCAACATTGAGAAAAGCTCCTTGATTCCACCCACCCAAATAACTCACTTGGGAGTGGACATAGATGCCTTGTTCGCAAGAATTTGTCCATCTCTAGAGGTTCCAGAAGATCTCCTCTCATTGTTTTGGAACTGCACTTGAGTCTTACATGGTAGGCCTCCTAGTATTGTGCATAGGGATCATTCCATGGGCACAGTCACACATCAGGCACCTTTAAGGCTGCATCCTAAAAGTATGGGACTACTTCCAAGAATGCATGCAAGAATAAGTGATATTTCCAGTGCTGGTAATCAACTCTTTAAAATGGTGGTCAGCCCAGGGCAATGTCTGCAAGGACATGCCCATATGCCTTCCAGATCCCCTGATCCTCACAACCAACGTCAGCCTGGTAGAGGACTGGCTGGGGGGGCATGCCTGAGATCCCAAATAGCTGAAGGTGTGTGGAACCTGGAGAAAGAACCCACATCATAAACTTCCTAACTAAGAGCAGTCAAGCTGGTGGTATGAAGCTTCCAGTCCGGCCTAAAGGGAAACCACATTCTGATTCAGTCACATAACACAACCATGGTTACGTATGTGAACAACCAAGAGAGAATAAGAAGCCCAGCGCTATATGCAGAAGCAATGCAAATCATGCAGTGGGCGTGGCAGTCTCTCCTCTCCCTCAGGGCAGTTCACATAAAGGGAGACCTGAACCAGATGATGGACTTGCTCAGCAGGCACAATGTGAACAACTCTGAGTGGTGCCTGAATCCAACATGGCCAAAATTCTTGGATTTCTTGGATTTGCTTTGTGTTCCTGGCATCAACTGAAAAAATTGGTCCAGATGGAGACGTTTACTTTCAATACTCTTCTAGAAGAAAGAAGTGTTCTGATAACTTTGGAGGACAAACCCAGTGATACCAGTGCTTCCCTTTCAGTAGTCAGCCTGTTAGATGAAACCAGTTCAGGTCCAGTTGAAGCCCAGGACCTTGTGAGGAGAGGTCCTGTCTCTTTGGAACCTGTAATGGTGAGCCCAATTTCAGCTTTATTAGATCCAAAAACTGGGTCTCCTCGCCAATGTGGGGGTCTTGGAGTTAATCATCAAATAATTCGGCCTGTCCTCAACTGACATATTTGCAAATCACATACGCACAGAGACCAAAGTACTTCACCAGGAAAGTGGACACCAGATCCATGGGGAAAGATGCCTTATCATCAAAACAGTCACAAGGCCTCCTCTATGCATTTCCATCCTTCCCGCTACTTGGGAAGGCAGTCCAGAAAATAAATCAAGAACAGGCAACAGTAATATTTTTAACCCCACATTGGCAGAGGAGACTCAGTTTTTGGACCTGATAAAGCTGAAATTGGGCTCACCATTACAGGTTCCGAAGAGATGGGGCACTTCCTCACAATGTCCTGTGCTTTATCCCGACCTGAACGGGCTGCATGTAACAGTCTGGCAATTGAAAGGGAAGTGCTGGTCTCACTGGTCTGTTCTCCAAAGTTATTAGAATGCTTCCTTCTTCTAGAAGAGTATTGAAAGTGTATTCCTCTTTCTGGACCAAGTTTTGCAGCTGGTGCCAGGAACATGAAGAAAATCTAAGAAATCCACGAATTCTGGCTATCTTGGATTTTCTCCAAGAAGGCTTTGACAAAGGTTTTCAATCCAGCACCATTGTGTGTCAGGTGTCTACCCTTAGTAGCATGATGTTTGCAGAATCTGTAGGTTCTCTGGCAGAGAACCTCTAGGTAGCCAGATTCCTTAGGGCAGTCCAGTTAGCCAAGCTGGCTATTAGACCTCATTTTCCCAAGTGGGCCACTTATATTGAGAGCCCGGACAAACCATTCCTTTGAACCACTGACATCAGTGTCAGCATTTACTTTATCCATCAGAACTTGCGTTCTGTTACCATCATGTCCACCAAGCGAACGTTGGAGCTGTTGGCACTCTCTATGCAGGAACTTTACTCATTGTTTCTTGAATACAAGATGGTGTTCAGAACTCTGGAATCATTTATCCCAAAAGTGAACTCTTCTTTCCACGCTTCTCGAGAGTGGTTCTACCTTCATTCTTTCCAAGATCACAACATCCCACCGAGGAGAGGTGGCACACCTTAGATGTCAGAAGGGCTCTGAAAATTTACCTCAAATGTTCAGAGTTCACAAGGAGATCAGGGTCCCTGTTTATATCCTTCTATCTGAAATACCAAGGTCTCAGAGCTGCTATGTATTCTGTTGCTAGATGGATTAGATTATGCATTGTGGAAGCGTACTAGGCATCAGAGACTCTGGTTCCAGAAGGGGTCACTCCATGGGCACACTCTATGCAATCGCTGGCAGCCTTGTGGGCAGAAAGCTAATGCATCCACAGCGGAAATTTGTAAGGCAGCCACCTGGTCAAACTCTGCCTCCTTTCTCAAGCACTAAAAGGGGGACATCCTGTCTTCTGCAGCGGCATCCTTTGGCAGGAAGGTGCTGTAGGCAGTGGCCTGGAAATGATTTTGCCCTTTGAGTAAATATTACAGATGGGAAGAGATACTGTTTTTCCTTTTCCATAGAATCATAGAATATCAGGGAAGGGACCTCAGGAGGTCATCTAGTCCAACCCCCTGCTCAAAGAAGGACCAATCCCCAATTTTTGCCCCAGATCCCTAAATGGCCTCCTCAAGGATTGAACTCACAACCCTGGGTTTAGCAGGCCAATGCTCAAACCACTGAGCTATCCCTCCCCCCTTTTCTATTGCCTCCGTACATCTGCTCGCTGCTTCTCAGATGTCAAGAATTTTGGGAGATGCTGGGTTGCAAAGCAGAAATTTTCTTACCAGCAGTTTCCTTTCCACTAGCAGTGTCTCCCACAATTCTACCCATCCTGGATGGCTCATGAGTCAAGGGTCAGTTACTGAGTGAAATTACCATATGACAGTCTTCCTTGGTCTAATGCACTGGTTCTCAAACTGTAGGTCGGGACACCAAAAGCCAGGGCTGGCTTAGACTTGCTGAAGCCCAGGGCCGAAGCCTGAGGGCTTCAGCCCTGGGCAGTGGGGCTCAGTTTACAGGCCTTCTGCCTGGGGTTGAAGCCCTTGGGCTTCGGCTTTGGCCTCTTCGCCTGGGGCGGTGGGGCTTGGGCTTTGGCTTCCAACCCGAGGTGGTGGGACTCAAGCAGGCTCAGGCTTCGGCAGTGGTGCAAGTAAAATCCATGTCTTACTGGTACGGGGGTGTCACCAGCTAAGGGGGGTATGTGACCCTCCATGTGACTCCCCAGCCCCAGGGCTCTCATGCTCTGTCCGTCCCCTCCTCACATCCATCCCATGTTACCTGGGGCGTTGGGGGGGTTGGGCTCTGTCCTCCTTCTCCGGCTGCACCGGAGACAGGGCTTGGGGAGGGCGGTAAGCCGCCAGAGGAGCTGCCAGTGTTCTGCTCCTTCCCCCCCAGCGGGGAAAGGAGCAGAACTCCCAGTCCTGCCCCCCAGCCGTCTCCAGCGAGGCTGTTGCCGTGGTACACAGACTGAGATGCAGCTCCATGGAAGGGCAGGGGGCGGGGCTGGGAGTTCTGCTCCATCCTTCCTCCTACTGCAGCAGCAGCCCCGCTGGAGGACAGGGCTGTGGGGGGCAGGGCTGGGGGAGGTACAGCTGCCAGAGGAGCTGCCGGCATTCTGCTCCTTTCCCCACTGCCCCTCCCAGCGGGGAAAGGAGTAGAACCCCCAGACCCTCCTTCCCCCCAGCAGGGCTGCTGCTGTGTCTTTCCAATACCGGCTATAAATAGCTTGCTGGGAAGGCTACAGGAGTGTAGCGGCCTACTTGCACTGCTGGGCTTCAGTCCCCTCTCCTGGGGTCGTGTAGTAATTTTTGTTGTGAGAAGGGCATCACAGTGCAATGAAGTTTTTGAGAACCCCTGGTCTAATGTATGTAGTTATTTTGTCATCTCTGGAATATTTGTTAATGATGCTAGCAAGCTTTGCAATTTGGGAATAACTCATCTGGAAGCAAGCAGGAGCTGAGGGTGTATGGCAAGACCATGTGGCTCCAAAACTCTGATTCACCTCCCTGAGCTGCAAAGAGAGGAGAGTAGCTCAAATGTCAAGAATTGTGGGGGGACACTGCTAGCAGAAAGAAAAATTCTTACCAATTATTTCCTGATTTTAGCCCCATGTCTTGAGGTTAATAATTCTAGGTGTTTAGATAGTACAGTGAATGACTCACATAGGATCTAGAATAACACTTTAGCCTCAGAGTTGTTAAACCTGTATATAGTTCTTACTTATAAAACAGGAAACAATTATTTAAATATTCATAATCTTAAGAATAATTTTTGTTTGGATTTAAATACATTGATTAAGGCCAACATAAAAGTAACTTCCTTTTTGTGTTAGGAAGTTCCATGTATTTAAATCAAAATAAATGTTTTCCTTTTTTTTCATCAGCTACCAGAGGAGAAAAGGAATAATTATAAATGAAACCTCAGTAGTTGTGTATGCCCAGTTACTCACTGGTCGTAGATATCAGCTAAATCAAAATGGTGACGTTTATTTGGAGAAGCAGTGGTCAAAACAAGTTCTTCCTTTTGTTTACCAAACTATTGTCAAGGTAAATATTCCAAATACTCCTAATCTTTTAATTTATAAAATTTTCCTTTCCATTAGGAAAGGATTAGAACAGCAGTTCTCAAACTGTGGGTCGGGACCACAAAGTGGGTTGCAACCCCATTTTAATGGGGTTGCCAAGGGCTGGCGTTCCCCTTGCTGGGGCCCAGGACTTAAGCCTGAGCCCCATTGCCCGGGGCCGAAGCCCAAGGGCTTGAGCCTTGCGTGTGTGTGGGGCCCCTCAGGTAACATGCCCCCCACCTGGGGCTGAAGCCTTTGCGGTTGGGCTTTGACCTCCTCCCACCCCCTGCCAAGAGCAGTGGGGCTCAGGCTTTGGGTCGTGTAGCAATTTTTGTTGTCAGAAGGGGGTTTAGGTACAATGAAGTTTGAGAACCCCAGGATTAGAATGCATACTTTAAAACAGACAAATAATAAAAGAGTTAATCAGCATCTTAATTTTATGGTAATAGTGCATCCTTTCTAGTACAAAAAGTATATACTTTGTCAAAAGCGACATTAAATGGTATATATTTTTCCATTTAAACTATCATTTCAAAAGTGTTGGTAGCTAGACTGAAGGCTCTTGTCACAAAAGTTGTGACCCTACTGCATATTTTAGTTTGATTGCCATGAACTTTTGTGATAACATTTTGAATAAGATACAGTAGTCATCTTGGACCAGATGTAGCCCAGTAGCTTTATGTAATTTCACTGACAGTATTACTTTCAAAAACTGAGTTGATGTATATTTTAGATAGTGAGGTTAGCATGAAGGAAATAGTTTGTAGTTTACTTTATCGTGATTGTTAGATGTTTGGTAATAAATATCTATTTAGCAGACCTGTTAAAGAACATATTGGGATTGACAGATATTTTAACACCATAGATTTTATCTTCTTCTTTCATGTAGGATATCAGTGCTTTTGACTCTCGTTTCTCCAACATCAAAACCTTGGATGATCTGTTTCCTCCTGGAAGTACAGTCTTTATGCTGGGGAGTCCTTACTATGGCTGCACAGGAGAAGTTAGTTCAAACATTTATTCTTGCAAGATATCTTTTCTTACATGCCTATAAATATCAAGGGCCAGATTCTCTGGTGCTGTGTGGCAGAATCTAGCTCTGGAGTCAGTCTAACCAACCCAGGTTGGATTACTTTGGTGTCTTAGTAGACATAGGTGAGCTCCTGCCTCTCCCCTATCATGTTGCTAACGTAACAGGGAAAAGGGAGCATAACCAGAATGTCTCATCAACATCATGATCATCAGCTATGGTTTTGTTCCTGTGAGGCTCTTTGCAGTCAGACTGATAGCGGTTCTAACTAAGTGCAATGGGACTGGCCCTGTAAAGAAGCTGCACCAAGATCCGAGGAGGGCAAAGTTGAACTTTAAGGTGTTTTTGCCCACCCCCACACTTGACCTATTTATCTGCCCAGAGTATAGACCCCAAAGTCTGGTCCCAAGTCCGTTTTTAAACGACCTCTTTTTCTAAATGAGAGAGGTAGTATTTGTCTGCCATTATATATATAAAATCTATGCAGTGAATTTACACATGTAGCTTAGGCTTCTCACAGAAAGTATAGGTCTAGATTTTTTACCTCAATTATTCCAGCAGAGAGTTGAATGAAAAGAAGTGAATGAAGTTTATTAACTTACTTTGTTTTCTACCAGGTGCAGGATTCTTGTGATGTCATCACAGAAGGTAGAATTCGTGTAGTTTTCAGTATCTCATGTGAACCGCAGCTTGATTCCTTAATACAGAACCAGCATGTACGTATTTTTGTTTTCCAGTAAATACTTAAATATTGTGTCAGATATTTTTGTCAGTGGCAAATTTCCTTCACAGATCCCAGTTGTCTTTTGTGCCACAATCCATATCCTTCTGTAAAAGACTGAAGTACTAAAACAATCTTATTCAGGGAGACTGTCTTAATACTAATATATTGTAGTGTAAGGCTGAATACAAGGTTCTGTTCAGAGCATTGAACTGCACTCTTACTGTGCAGTTCCATACCCATGTCCCATGTTTTGCATCCTCTGTGGGATGATCTAGTTCTACTAGAGTCTGGCTGCCAGTTGTGCTGCTCCTTTATGTGTTCCAGCATTTGGTGACCAGAAACAATATTTCCGGACAGTGAGAAATGGGGATCACCATGTGCTTATAAGTTTTTTTTTACTCAAACCATTGCATTGGCTTCACTTTCATTTCTGGTTGTCATTAACACCTTAAACTGCAATATTTAAAACATTGATCTGGAAATCAACTGTTCAGGAGATCTAGTCATCATGACAGTTAAGGTGAGCTGGGTGACTGGCAGTTAGTCCCTGAATTTAGGCAGTTCATGACAAGACAGCAGGGTTTTTTCAGTTGATGGTCCTTTCCTTTGTAGCTAGTTCCTATTAATGATCTGTAAGAGCCTAAGCTGACAAGTTTCAGAGCAAGATGCGAGATGTTCTTGCTTGGTTTAGCTCAGTGTTTTTCAAACTCATTATGCTCAGGGACTGTATTGTATTTTATTAGGCCCAGTCTAGATCACTGCCTCATTCTGCAGCTAGACACTCTAGCAACACAGTCCCTGCTCCAAAGAACTTTGTAAATTCCTCTGGGCGTGGTATGGAATGTGGAAAGGGGAAATATTCATCACTTATCTTCTCCCTGGCTCCTCAGACCAATGGAAGGGTCTCCTGCAGGGTTGTGGGAGCTGGTTTCCTGTCCTCTCCTCCCAACCCTCAGTGCAGGAATAGCAGAGAAATATGTACGGTTGGAAGGTAATTTTTAAAAGGAAATAATTGGGCTTTTAAAAATAATTATAGTACTTTATTGCCTATATCCTGTCCTAGTATATAGTAATATATTTTTATTTTTAAAGAAATATTCTGTGAAGTACAATCCTGGATACGTTTTAGCCAGTCGTCTTGGAGTGAGTGGATATCTTGTCTCCAGGTTTACAGGAAGCATATTTATTGGAAGAGGATCCAGGAGAAAGTATGTTTGACTGTAATAAATTTCTTTGTAATCAAAATTCTTAATTATGAATGTAAAATTATAGATTATGTGCTATGGTAGATTCCACCTAATAGCAATCCTGATATTAGCAACTTCCAGTTAATAGGAACATTTTGCCAGGAACCAATCCCATCCCATTAACATCAGTGTTGATAGGATTAGGATATTGACACTAGCATGCTGCTTACCAGCAACTTTTTTTTAAAGAAAGACCCCACCTGCAGGCAGGTTTGCAAGTCTACAGGCAGGGAAGGAAGTACTGAGATGTGCTGAGCACTCCTGCAGATGGGTTTATGAGGCTACATCCAGGAATGGAAGGGCTGGGGCATGCCTTCCTCGCTGCAGCACCGCAAACCTACCTGTGGCTGGTGCTCATCCTGTCCCAATGCTTCCTTCTGGGGCTGCAGCCCAGCACATGGGACTGTATAGGAGGTAAGAGGCTGTGGGCTGGGCTGGGAGGTTGTGGGCTGGGCAGTAGTAGGGAGCGGAGCTGCAGCCCAGCAAACCTTACTGCACGCGGGATCACACAAGGAGATAAGGGACTGCAGGCTGGGAGGGGAGGCGTAGGCAATAGTGGGGAGGAGGGCTGCATCCCGGGTGTTGGAACTGCATGATATCTCTCCCTGTGCTCTCCAGGCTGTGCCCGGCTGGGAGACTGCACACAGGGAAGGGAGCGCTGGGACATGCTAAGCCTTCCACTTATTAGCAACTACTGGATAATAGCAACTTTGGCTGGCAACCAAGGGGTTGCTAATAAGTGGAAGCTACTGTAGACAGAATTTACTTAGGTTTTTACGTTTTCATCCTATTTGACATCTCAGTATTAATAAATTCTAATGGGATCTGTGATATAAAATTGTTTTGATAGTGTATTTGATATAAACAATGTTTTCAAAAAGAAGTAGTCTGTAGTTAATAGGAGCTTAGTTTGTTAATTTTCTGAATTGGAGCTTTGTTCTGGTTGTTTAAATGTTTTTTAACAAGCCCTAAGAATCGCTTAGATTTACTGTTTGTTTAGTTGAAGTGATATTCTAATTGACCATTAATAGAATATTGCATCAGATTAAAAATTGAAAAATTAAATTAAAAATCCCAGCTGAATCATACAGTACTCCCACACTTCATATATTTTTTGGATTCTTCTCTTGGAGACACCTTCAGTATGTTAAACCCAGGAGGCTAGTAGATTGAGACTCTGTAATTCTAGAGGATGTTGTTCTGAGTTTATGCCCCCCAATGCTGATGCCCTTCCTGCCTCAATCAGAAAATGAGGTATAGGCTGGGAACTAGTACATTTGAAAGTGCATTTTAAAAATTTTAAGAAAAATCAATTAAAAAATAACCCTCAACTGGGGCATTAGTATAGAAGACTTTTCTGTCAAGTGAGTTTTGGGTGAGAATTTTTCTTTAAATCCCTCATCTGTAAATATATTTCACCCTTACAACCAACCCTCCAAAGCAAGGAGACCCCGAGAAGCCTATATTCAAAGCCCGTTAACAGTTCTTAATTGGCTAGAAAGATTACTGTTGACCAACCCAAGATACCTGAGCTACTTCAGGCCAGGCAAAATGCCTCTAAAGTGTGTCCAGCCCTTGATTGTGCTGAGGACACTAGGGTGGAACTAGGACTGTATTGGAGTCCCCTCTTGTAGTACAGAGCACTAACTCTTCGCCACAAAGATGAGAATCTTTGTTTGTTTGAAATTTGTGTATTTATTGAATAACAGTTAAAAGTATGCAGTTGTGTACAACTTGTGAAAAAGATAGTAATCCAAAAGTCACATGATATGCTTTCCTAAAACTCAAAACACCTATTTTCTGTTACATCCCACAGAGTGATTATACCCAACTCTTATACAGCACTTTTCATCAGTAATTCTCAAAGTGCTTTACAAAGTAGGTCAGTATCATTAGCAGATAAAGATGTTATCAGAAACAACTTTTCTGAGGCTCAAGTCAGATGTCAGTAATTTTTCCTTTACAAAACTTATTTTTTTGTTTCGCAGTCCACATGGAGACCACAAGGCAAATGTGGGCTTGAATCTGAAGTTTAATAAGAAGAATGAAGAGGTCCCTGGCTATACTAAGAAGGTTAGAAATGAATGGATGTATTCTTCTGCCGTAGAGCAACTTCTTGCTGAGTATTTAGAAAGGTAAGAGTTGAATAATAACTTCATATTTGTGAAATTATTGTACTGAAATTGTAAATGGGTTTTATTCACTGTGCAAAAGTTTATTATTGATGACTCTGGCGCTGGAGGTAGGATAACCCAAATCCTGGTTTAATGAGAAATAAGTGTATCAAATGAAGTATTTTGAGGTGTTTCTGATTTTTAGACTTAAAACGGACTATAATTTAGCATGAAATAGCAAAGGAACAAACTCAGCAACATTAAGAATGTCATGGAAGATTCTTAAAGCTAAGATTAAAGAAATTGAAATAAATGATATTTTCTTCATATTTTCAATGAACAATCTGTACCCAGTCATGGCTTTTTCTTTGCTGTGTAGACGCACACTAATTTTCTTACATTTAGAAGTTACTTTGGAACACTTTCTATTTGAAGAGAAGCGATGGCTATAATTTGGGATCTGTGTTTCAAAATCAGATGGTGACAACTGTAATAAGACATTCTGAGTGTGGGAGGTGTCTAAATTATTTCATTTTGTTGTGTAGAATATTGACATAAACACATACTGCTCCAGTGTGCTGGAATTTGAAAACACCTCATATTATAATAGTTACGCTGCATAGGAAATCCAATTTTATTGTATGATCTATGTTACCTTCTGAAACCACTTTGAAATCAGTTTATATCCCACTGTAGTCTCTCCTGATTGATGAGGAATTAAAAACTGAAATGAAGGAGGCTAGTGTGTGGAAGTGATCCTGTGGAGGAGACAAATGAATTAAACTTTCATTTCTAGATCAATGCTGTTGTCATTCAGCATGTAGTACACATGAAATCTCATGGGTTTATATTTACAGTGAAAGATGACTTAGTCATTATCTAGCCCCTTAGTAATTGCCAGAGGCTGACTACAGTTACCTAAAAATGACTGCATAAATGGAAAAAAATAAGCAGCCTAAAAAGCAAAAATGTTAAGCTATCATGTGGAGCTTTGGTGACACCCCAATTCATCCAAGTTCCTCTCCAGTAACTTGTCATTAGAATCCCTCAGCAACAGTCTGCCTCTGTAACTTAAGTTTACTTCATGGAGAGGGGGATGGAGCATGTGGGATCTTCCAATTTCTTCTTTATTTCTCTTTCTAAATGCTCCCATGTCATAGAGATCCAACCTTTTAACCAAAGACGGCAGGACACAGGCCCTTCTGGAGCCCATCAGTACTGCTTCTGAGGTTGCATGATGGAGTTGGGTGGACTTAGAGAAAGGGAATGTGTGTTCTGAGTCCTAGCAAGAGATGATCTTGGACAGAACTCTGATTTTCCGTCTTTTGTCAGCATATTAAACTGCCTATTTGGCCAATAAAACTCTGTACATTTATGAAAAGCTACTGCACCCTGGATTCCAGATTATTTTGTTTCTATTAAGCACTTGTTTTTGACCTTGCAGTATGTGAAACTATATCCCTTTTATTATTAGGGTCCCTGAACTGTTTAGTTATATTGCCAAAAATAGTCAAGAAGATATATTCTATGAAGATGATATTTGGCCTGGCGAGGACGAGAATGGGTGAGCAATGTTTTTGCAGTTTGATTAAATAGTATTCTATCTGACAAGTTCCAGATATTGACCTTTGTACATTCAAAAACTACTGAAGTCGCAAAGCAAAGAAGGGTACAATTATTTCAGTATTTTTGGAATCATCCAGTCCAAATACTAGACTATAAATTTTGCTGTAATAAAAATGTGCAGAAATTCTTCAAGTACTGAAATACAGTATCTTCAGGCAAGGAAAATGCCCAACTTGAAGATTAGTAGACAGGAAACTGGTGGCAAGAGGGATTTGACAGTATTGAAAATGGCTGCACCACATAATGATGGCCTTATTTAAATAACTTTGAAACCTGTTTTTTTTTCTTCAGGACCAGACTCATTATAGGATGATTTTGACAATTATCAGGATATTATATATCTTTTCTAGAGATATCTATTTATCACACCTATGCCTCATATTTGTACACTTTAGTTCTCCATGGTTTTTAATTTTTGCTTTTAAAATAATCTTCATTGGGTGTTTTTACTGATTTTTGTTTGAAAATCCAGATTTTCAGTCTGGAAGGTAGAATTTCTAGAGTTTGCATTTTAGTTTATACTTTTGAAGCATCGTTCTATCATGGTTAATTTTTTTGTCCCTATACTAAGCTCTCGGAGCACATAGCAGTGTTTGTTATGACTACATCCAGTTATAAGATGTGCCTACTACTGTAGTATCTGGTGACATTATAAATCCAGAAACTGGGTGTAGCCCACAATAATATGTAAACCCTCAACAATTATGATCAATATGGAATTTTTTTTATATAGTGCTGAGAGAGTTCAAGAAATTGTTGCCTGGCTAAAGGCGCATCCTGTCAGCACTTTATCTCGTTCATCTTGTGACTTACAAATTCTGGATGCAGCTATTGTAGAGAAAATTGAAGAAGAATTAGAGAAGTGCAAGGTACTGAATTTTTATAGATTTGACTAGTGATGGACCAAAAAGCAGTTGTTCATATTGTCCAGGTACTTTATTCAGATTACAGAAAATGGTTTTTCAGTGGCATGGCAAATACTACTATTGGAAGAACCGTAAGCTACTAAATTGCATCATAAATTGTCATAGCAACTCAGAAAAGGGCATCAGCAGTCTCTCTACTCTTTGGCTCTTTTCTGTCCAGCTAGTTAAACCAGATCGGCTCTGAGCTCCCCTGACTTTGAGTGATTTTGGGAAAAGAATCTGTGTCCAAAGAGGTCCTGGACTCCTCACAATCTCTTCCAAACACAAACCCAATCTTCCCTTCTGTTTCCCAAATAGTTTCCCTTTGATCTGCAAATAACTAGAAGGCAGTCTCCTCCAGCCTCACAGGTCTCTCTCATCAGATCCATTCAAGTAAAAGAGAAAATAAAACAAAAACAGGCAAGGCAGTATTAAGTGTTAAATGGGTTATGAAGTCCTATGATGTGTAGCAAATCCCCATGAGACAAGTGGTTGATACTCTTCCAGATTGTGTAGAAGGCTCCAGAAGCAAAAGTGATATTAACTTTGGGTTTGTTTTGGGATTGGTTAAATAATTTAAGCCATGGTTTAGAAAGACTAACCTGACTTCTTAGATCCAGTTACTTTGAATCATGCCAAAATACTGTATTTATAAATACTTTAAAGTCTTGAGAACTGTATCTCCTTTAAGAACACCAGAAGAATGCCTGCAGTACATTTTCATGGAGCATATATATATTTTCTTCAGAAGTCCTACCGTATTCTGATCCTTGTTCTGCTTACTTGCTCAACACATTATATAGATAGATAGATCCCGTCTGTTTTCCCTTCACACTGATAGTGGGCATTTTTTATCAAAGACATTGCAAAACAATGGCATAATATTTCAGACTTCTTACTTAATAGTTTTTAAAATTCTTTTGTCCCTTTCCTTTAGCAAAGGAAGAGTAACAAGAAGGTGCGAGTGACGGTGAAACCCCATTTGCTGTATAGAGTAAGTCATTTTAGGGCTGTTTAATTTTATTATAAAAACTAACTTATGTAAAATAAATATAACCTGGACAAACTTCATGAACCTTCAAAAATTACTATAGGGCACTTGCCTGAGTTGGGACAGGATTAATTGAAGTGTCTCCTAGGAAATTAGTTTCAGTGTGGTGTTACTTAATAACAATGACTGCTGTATAAATGGGACTGAAATTCAGTTCTCGATTCTCATGTGGTTTAGTAGCATATGTCTTTTGCCTTCTTCTGATCCTACAACTTTCATTCCCTCCATAATTGTAATATATGCAGAAAGAATATTAAGTGCTTCAGAAATGCTGCCCTTTGCCTGTTTTGTTCTTTTCATGGCACCTGTATGCTCTAGGCCAGAGGTGGGCAAATTACGGCCTGCGGGCCACATGTGGCCCACGGGACCGTTCTGCCCAGCCCCTGAGCTCTTGGTCTGGGACCGTTCTGCCCAGTCCCTCCCCTGGTGTTCCCCCTCCCCCGCAGCCTCAGCTCACTGTGCTGCTGGCGCCATGCTCTGGGCGGCGGGGCTGCGAGCTCCTGGAGCAGTGCAGCTGCAGAGCCCGGCCTGACCCGGTGCTCTGTGCTGAACGGTGCGTGGCTGGCTTCAGCTGGACGGCACAGCTGCCTGTCCTGGTGCAGCTGCGCCGCCAGCCACAGGTGCTCCAGGCAGCTTGGGAAGAGGGCAGGGAGCAGGGGAGTGGGGTTGGATAGAGGGCAAGGAAGTTCGGGTGGTGGCCAGGGGTGTGGATAGAGATCAGGGCAGTCAGAGGGCAGGGAACAAGGGGGTTGAATGGGGGCAGGGTTTCTGGGGGCGGTCAGGGAGAAGGGGTGGTTGGATGGGGCAGGGGTCCTGTGGGGGAGTAGTCAGGAAGGAGCGGGGAGGTTGGATGGAGCAGGGGCCGGGCCATGCCTGGCTGTTTGCAGAGGCACAGCCTCCCCTAACAGGCCCTCCATATAATTTCTGAAACCCGATGCGGCCCGCAGGCCAAAAAGTTTGCCCGCCCCTGCTCTAGGCTGCTTTGCTGGGTGTCTCACAAATGCTCCTGCTGGTGGCACAAGGAAAGCTGAACAATACTTCTGATTGTGCCTTCCCTCAACTCCATGGGCCCATTCAGTAGCACTTCATGAGTAGCACTGCAGCTTCCTAGTTAGCAATATTATTAATAAAAGGATGTTTTCTGAGCATTGTAACACCTCTACCTGGTTATTGTGAGAACAGTTCAAATTGTTTTCTCAGTGTACTGAAAACAATGAAATCATTTCAACTTCTTTAAGTTTTAAATCCGTGATTCATTTGTTGTTAAGTCAGAATAACTTATATCTTTATATTTTACTAGAATTAACATAGTCTTTTGGTTAATGTCAGCCTTTAGAACAACAGAATGGGGTTGTTCCAGACAGAGATGCAGAGTATCGACTGTTTGACCGTGTTGTCAATGTGAGGGAGAACTTTTCTGTTCCTGTTGGTCTTCGAGGTACCATTATAGGAGTTAAAGGAGGTAATATTTTCCTCATAATAATGATCATATGTTAGCTATAAGGTTGACATGAAAACAAACTGTTGTAAACTTTTATTCTTTTTCATTTAATTGTGAACAGTATTAATAAAGAGTCAGACTGGAGATGAGGCACAATTAAAAAATAGAAATTTGGTTTGTAATGTACCATGCGGTTGTCCCACTTACGGTGCCATCTGTGGGTTCTCAGGCTCAGTGTAACAGCAAGTGCAGAAGTCTATTCCACTCTATTGCTGCAAAATTTGGAGAGATGAGGGTGAGGATTGGAAGGTGGCCATTGGATTCAGGGTTTAAAGTCTCTGACCCCACCCCTGAGAAGAGACTTCATGGTTGTGGGGAACCTAAAGCTTGTTGCAGTGGGAGGTAAAGAAGAAGCTACTCTAGGATTATATTCAGATATGATAGTATTTGGATTCAGGATCTGAATATTGTCATCTTCCCCCATTAGAGCAGGATTAGTTGTTTGGTAACTTTCACGTGACCAAATGGTCAGTAATAGGGCTGTCAAGCGATTTAAAAAAGTAATTGCAATTAATCATGCAATTAATCACACTGTATAATAGAATACCATTTATTTAAATATTTTTGGGTATTTTCAAATATATTTATTTCAGTTACAATACAGAATACAAAGTGTGCAGTGCTCACTTTATATTTATTTTTGATTACAAGTATTTGCACTGTATAAAAACAAAAGAAATAGTATTTTTCAATTCACATAATACAAGTACTGTAGTGCAATCTCTTTATCATGAAAGTTGAACTTCCAAATGTAGAATTACGTACAAAAAAAACTTCATTCAAAAATAAAACAATGTAAAATTTTAGAGCCAAGAAGTCCACTCAGTCCTACTTATTGTTCAGCCGATCGCTCAGAGAAACAAGTTTATTTACATTTGTAGAAGATAATGCTGCCCGTTTCTTGTTTACAGTGTCACCTGAAAGTGAGAACAGGCATTCTCGTTGCACAGTTGTAGCCAGTGTTGCAAGATATTTATGTGCCAGATGTGCTAAAGATTCATCTGTCTCTTCATACTTCAACCACCATTCCAGGGGACATGCATCCATGCTGATGACGGGTTCTGTTCAATAACAGTCTGAAGCAGTGTGGACCGACACGTGTTTATTTTCATTATCTGAGTCAGATGCCACCAGCAGAAGGTTGATTTTTTTTTTTGGTGGTTTGAGTTCTGTAGTTTCCTCATCAGAGTGTTTCTCTTTTAAGGCTTCTGAACGCATGCTCCACACCTCGTCCCTCTCACATTTTGGAAGGCACTTCAGGTTCTTAAATCTTGGGTCGAGTGCTGGAGCTATCTTTAGAAATTTCAAATTGGTACCTTCTTTGCGTTTTGTGAAATCTGCAGTGAAAGTGTTCTTAAAATGAACAACAGGTGCTGGGTCATCATCCAAGACTGCTATAACATGAAATATATGGCAGAATGTGGGTAAAACAGAACAGGGGACATACAGTTCTCCCCCAAAGAGTTCAGTCACAAATTTAATTAACGCATTATTTTTTTAATGAGTGTCATCAGCATGGAAGAATGTCCTCTGGAATGGTGGCCGAAGCGTGAATGGGCCTACGAATGTTTAGCATATCTGGCACGTAAATACCTTGCAATGCTGGCTACAAAAGTGCCATGCAAATGCCTGTTTTCACTTTCTCGTGACATTGTAAAGAGGAATTGGGCAGCATTATCTCCCGTAAATATAAACAAACTTGTTTGTCATAGCGACTGGCTGAACAAGAAGTAGGACTGAGTGAACTTGTAGGCTCTGAAGTTTGACATTGTTTTGTTTTTGAATACAGGTTTTTGTATGAAGTGAACTGAAAAATACAATTTTTTAAATAATTTTTACACTGCAAATATTTGTAATAAAAAATAATATACACTTTGATTTCAATTACAACATAGAATACTATATGAAAATGTAGAAAAACATCCAAAATATTTAATACATTTCAATTGGTATTCTATTGTTTAACAGTGTGATTAAAACTGCGATTAATCACGATTCATTTTTTTAATCGTGATTATTTTTTTTTTGAGTTAACTCACGATTCACTGCAATTAATCAACAGCCCTAGTCAGTAACATTGTTTGGTTTAGATGTCATATACTGTCATTTGAGCATGATGTTGGAATGCTCTTAAGAAAATGAGAGAGGTATGCATTTGGTTTTTGGTTTTTCTTGGGGGATGGGAGGAAGCAGCTTAGGAGGGTGGTTTCTCCGCTTTTCAGGAGCATGAGAAAGTTGTCTCCAGTTACATTTGATCCTCTACCCAATGAAGCTGAGGGGATTATTTAGGAACTGAGATTATTTTCTTGACTCTTCTCACATCTAATAAAGTCTTGTGGAGGAATAAAGATAAAATGATGGAACATATAAAATCTATTTGGAAACAAAAAAATTTGCCTCAGATAGAGTGGAGAATTTAGAGAGTGCTGTTTGTGAATAATATAGCTCCATTTGAATGCATAGTGCTATAAACTCCTAATGGCATGGACTGTTCTTCATGTGTGTTTTGTAATCTAAAATAAGTACACAACTCTTCTGGTTTCTCAAGTATCCAGTCTAACTAGCTGAATGAGTGGAAGGGATTAGAGAAAGTGAAACAGGTTTGTCCAGCCTTTCCTAGATGTGTTTTGGTCCTGGTGTAACAAGTGAGGAAGAAAACTGACAGGATTTGTTTATACTCCAACGTTTCTGACAAAGTTATAGAAAACTTCAATTAAAAAAAGAATTTGAATTTCTAGAGAGGAAACTTTCTAGCAGTGTGAGAGAGTTCACTTAAAAATTCTCCAGTTAAGCAGCACATCTAGCTTAAAGCTCCTAGTAACATATCTAGGAGCTTGTCTACACAAGTTATTCCAGAATAAGGTAAAATGTGAATTTGAAGCAGAATAGCTATTCCAAAATAGCTCCATATCTGAACACTTTTAATTCTGGAATAACTCCATGTGTAGACAAGCCCTAAGCTCATTTATCAGTCACTTCATGTGTTAAGTAGCTCTACCCTTGAATGTGGAACTACTTAATCTTTGGCCTTCCTTAATAAAGGACAGGCAGTAAAGCCAATGAGAAGGAACACATACCAGAAAGTAGGGGAAGGCATATAGGAGGAGAGACATAATTGGAGAGAGACAGTAAAACAGAGGGACACAATAGTGGTGGTCCGAATGTTTTTACCATACTTAAGGTTCCACTAAATATTTACTCCTGAGGGCATTCTGCACCAAAAAATAAAAAAATCTGCAAATTATATTTGTCAAATAAATGTGGAAGCTCCAGCATGGCATTGAGGAGCACAGGCCACTGACTGCACAGAGGTGGGAGATCACTGTGCAGCTCCCTCACCGGGACACGGACTCGACTGTGAGGCTGCACCCAACCCTGACACAGCACAAGGACTAGGCCTGCCCCAGAATAACACCTCAGGGCCCTACTCCTCTGTGCCAGGTGCACCAGGTGTTGGCAGGTAGGCTCAGCAAGGCAGGATCCAAGTGTGGAGGGGCTTAGTATGGGGGGGTCCTGCTGTGAGTTGAGAGGATTCTGTGTGGGGCAATCTGGGCGTGGGCAGCTCAGATGGGGATCCAGGTGTGGGCGGGATCTGGATGCACAGGGGCTTGTTGTGTGGGTTCTGAGTGCAACAAGAATGGAACTCTGCAGGGGGGTCCAGGTGAAGGTGGTTGGAGCTCAATGGAGGGAGGGGAGTCTGGGTGTGGAGGGGATAGGACTCGGCAGGGGGGTCTGAGTGTGGGGAGCTCAGTGGGGGGGTCCAGATGCTGAGGGAATTGGGCTTAGTGGGGTGGGGCTCCAGGTGCAGCTGGTTGGGGCTCGGTAGGGTGGGGATCCGGGTGCGGGTGGCTTGTTGGGAAGGTCCAGGGACAGGGGAAGTGGGGCTCATGGGGGAGGGGGTTTGAGGCTCAGCGGGAAGGTCTGGGTATGAGGGGGTCTGTATGCACGGGGTTGGGCGGATGTGGGAGCAGCTCCCCTGTACAGTGATCCCTCCCCGTGCAGCTAAGGAGTAGTGGGTACAGGAAGCAATGGGGTGGAGTTTGCAGAGCTTCATACAGCCAGAGGATAAATCTGGGGGTGGGTCTGACATGGCCCCGGGTGCCATGCAGGGGAAGAGGAAGTCCCGTCCTCCCCAGCCCAGCTGGGACTAGCAGCTGAGCCCAGCGCAGGGTAGGAGCCACCATCTGGGTCTTCCCCAGTCCCACCCCTTGCCCCACAGTGATTTACCTCTCTGCTGGCTGCCCTGGGCACCTGAAACATACTGCTGGGGAGGGTCGCATGACTGGTCTTGTGGCTTCCCTTTGCTTTGTCCATCAGAAAGTCATCTTTCTGCGGGGAATAAAAGAAATCTGTGGGGGACATAAATTCTACACATGCAGAATTCCCCCAGGAGTAAATATCACTCACCATAAAGTAGAGCATCCATTCTCAATCTGTGGTTTCGATCTAGGCTTCTCTTCAGTGACATACTGTGTCACTTGCAACCATTCTTCCTCAGATACCAGAATCCCTATAAACCAGTGGTTTTCAACCTTTTTTTCATTTGCAGACCCTTAAAAAATTTCGCATGGAGGTGCAGACCGTTAGGACATTGATTCTCAAACTAGGGGCACCGCTTGTTCAGGGAAAGCCCCTGGCGGGCTGGGCCAGTTTGTTTACCTGCCACGTCCGCAGGTTTGGCCAATCGCAGCTCCCACTGGGCGCGGTTCGCCGCTCCAGGCCAATGGGGTCTGCGGGAAGGGCAGCCAGCACATCCCTCAGCCCATGCTGCTTCCCGCAGCCCCCATTGGCCTGGAGCGGCGAACCACGGCCGGTGGGAGCTGCGATCGGCTGAACCTGGGACGCGGCAAGTAAACAAACTGGCCCGGCCCACCAGGGGCTTTCCCTGGACAAGCAGCGCCCCTAGTTTGAGAACCACTGCCTTAGGAAATATAAGACAGTCTATGGACCACCAGGTTGAAAACAACTGCTATAAATCATTGGCACCTCTTTTGAGGGATCTGGATGAAAGGACTCACCTACTCAGGCAGTCACGACATGAAAAAGTTTGAGAAACAGTGGAGTAGATATCCCTCTAGTCTGGCATTTTAATAGTCACTTTCATTAAAGTTGTGTCTAACGGGATTTCAGATAAGCCAAACCTTAAAATATGCCCTTTTTCATCTGCAATGACTTCAGATTAATATAAATTATAAAACAGTATATTTATCCATTACTATACAAGTGATATCCTCTGCTGAGAGCCAGTTTCAAAACTGTTGGTCTCTGGTTGCCTGGATGTATGGATCCACCCACTGTGTCTCTTTCCAGATGGTTTTATATCCATAAAGCTTCTGTGCCATTGACCATGGCATCATTGTACAGAGAACAAACTACATATTCTGTGTTTTAAAAAAATGAGCAACAAAAATAAAATCAAGTAGGCCCAATATATAGGGTTAGCTATGAAAAGGAAAGAATGTGCTCTCTTTTTATCATTAAAAGGAATGATACAAGGAAAGTACAGTTGTGTGTTGGGAAAATAACCGACTATTAGGGACTGCTATCAAACTTATGACTCTAGATTACTGCTACTTATAGTTGCGTATAGTAGATTTACAGTTTATGTATATCCTAGAGGACAATCACACATAACCTTTTTTGAGGAGTTTCCAAATAATTGAATTAAGTTTTGTATCTGGGGCATAGGGTATTTAAGTGTCTCTCTAATAATAATTTAGTTTTATGTCGTCTTCATTACCACAATGTGCTATTAATGGTAGACAGGCATGTAGGCTACTCTCTTACAGTGCATGTCATTATTTTCTACAGCAAGCAGAGAAATGGATGTACTCTTTGAAGTGTTGTTCGATGAAGAATTCCCTGGAGGCCTAACAATAAGGTCTGTGTTTGTTCATACTGATTTTGTACCCTTGTGAGACTGAATTGAATTTAAATTACTAGCTTTTTGCTGATGTGTGAGAGTGTTTTTAAATACCTCATGAGAAATTTGACTAACTCCATTTAGAGGCAGTTTTGCTTCTGTAATGTATGTTTTTGGTGTTTTTGTCCCTCATTCTTTATGACTAGAGACAGTTTCATGAAAACAGAATCTGTGTCTCTGAAGAAGTGCTTATTACTCCTGATACTGACATCCCCAAGTGAAGTTCTTATCTTTTCCAAAGCAACCACCCTCATGCCACACGTAAAGGACTAGAGAACTATGCTATGCAGATGTGCTTGCAAATAGAGTGTTTTATAAAATGTGCTATTTGTTTCATAGATTCATAGATACTAAGGTCAGAAGGGACCATGTCCAACCTCCTGCACAACGCAGGCACAGAATCTCACCTACCCACTCCTGCAATAAACCTCTCACCTTTGTCTGAGCTATTGAAGTCCTCAAACCATGGTTTAACGACTTCAGGGAGCAGAGAATCCTCCAGCAAGTGACCCATACTACAGAGGAAGGCGAAAAACTTCCAGGGCCTCTTCCAATCTGCCCTGGAGGAAAATTCCTTCCCGACCCCAAATATGTAGATCAGCTGAACCCTGAGCATATGGGCAAGATTCACCAGCCAGATATCCAGGAAAGAATTCTCTGTAGTAACTCAGATCCCACCCCATCTAACATCCCATCACAGGCCATTGGGCCTATTTACCATGAATATTTAAAGATCAATTAATTACCAAAATCATGTTATCCCATCATACCATCTCCTCCATAAACTTATCGAGTTTAATCTTGAAGCCAGATAGGTCTTGTTATCTGCATGTCTCTAATCACACTGGAAATAGATTAGATTTTGGTTTTATAATAGTGCCTTTCATGCTCAGGTTATAGTATCTGAAAACTACTTTACAAAACAGGAAGTGACTTTGATGCTGGTAGTGGGGCAAGTGTAGATGAAAACAGCAGTCATTATAACCAGTACCTTATATATTCTGCAGCAACAGAATTCGTCTATTTCACCCTGCCACAAAATTTTGCTGTAATCAAAGCTTTCAGATTTAAACAGAATGGACCAAGACAGAGGCTCCTCCTCACATGCTCAGGCAAGAGAGCGCTCCCCCAAGAAGGTGACTGAAAAGCAGGTTTCATCTTCTCCCCCCTCAGGAATCCACCAAGAAACTGCATTCTCCAACTCGGCAGACCCCATCGGTACCCAACCATACCGAGCCTTCCACCTCCGAGGTAGTGGGACCATGCGGTACTGAGGTTACGCACCAGCAAAAGACCCTAAGTGGGCTAATTCAGACAAGGGCAGCAAAGGGAATGCAAAACCCTCTGCTTGGTACCATTGGAGCTGACGAGGCATTCGGCGCTAAGCAGTTGACAGCACTGCAAGCTATGGTGCCTCCACGGCACACACTGCACGTTCCTCAGCACTGCACCTCACACATCAGTACCACCACCAAAGCCTTCACAGGTACCGATACTCTTGGTACCACAGCAGTTCCTTTGACACAAGGATCTCCTGGTCTCTGCACCAGAAACTTCTCTTCCCAGTACCGACATCACTCTAGCATGCTCAGTACCAAGCCATCTTAGCGCATTGCCCAGATCTGCTCCTCTCTTTTCAAGTGATGAGGCCAATTAGGATGAAGGGGAAATCTATGCCGCCCATTACTCTTCGCCTCCTCATACATCTGCCAGACCATGTCCATCACAACAAAGAGATTATCATCCGGGATCTCAAACTCCGAGCTAGTACGGACATCTATGGGTGTCACGACCTATGACTTTCCCAGCACGGTGGCTTTACTGGGAACCATGGGCAGCATACCGAACACAACACCACAAGCCTCCCAGTCAACCCAGGGAGAGGTCAAGACATTCCCCTTCACCCTCTGTACCAGAACCCTCCGAACCTCCAGAAGAGGTGGCTGAGGAACTGGAGGAGGCTTCAGACCAGGAAGCTGCACCAGCAGCCAACTTTCCTCATTCTCTTCCCCGGATGAAACCATCATGCCTCTACCTCCCACCATGGGGGATGATTTTAAACAATTTCAGGAGCTCTTTAAGAGTGGCAGTGTAGCGGGGTGGTCACCCCACTCCGGCCCTGAAGGGGTTAAAAGCCGCCCTGGAGAGGGCTGCAGCAGGGAAGGGGATTCAGAACAGCTACGGGAAGCTGACTGTGTAGCTGACCACAGCTGTGGCCAGATCAATCAGGACCCAGCTGGCCCTTATAAGAGGGCTGTGGGCCAGAAGCAGACGAGTCTCACTCTAGCCCAGGAGTGGGAAGGGCTAGCTGCCAAAGAGGAAGGTACCTGAAGTGGAGCAGGGCTGGGGAAGGGCAAAGGGAGTTGGGGAGCTCCAGAATGGTAAACCCCCAGGCTGCAGGCCTTGTTTAAGGCCAAAAGGTACTGGGACTGCAGAGGGGCAGCCTGAGGATAGGCAAAGGCAGCAGGCCCTAACCCCTTGCCAATGATGAGTGGCCATTACACTGCAGTCTGCCCCAGCAAGCAGGGGTTAGATGATGACTGGCAGTAGCCACTGAGGCAAAGTAGGTTTAGAGGGTTGGGGATTCCCCTGGGAGGGAAGACCCAGAGTGTGGGGGTGCTGCTGGGGCAGAACCCCAGGGTAAAGGGCACCGGGGTCCAGAAGGGACACGGGGCCAGCAGTAGGTGAGACACCGGCCTGCAGAGGGTGCTCCATAAGCTTGACAGAGCTAATTCCCAGACGACCAGCAGGAGGTGCCACACCGGTGAGTTGTCACTTCACTACAGGCAGATTCCTTGAACATTCCACTAGAGGAGGTGCCTGACTTCTAGCATAAGCTGCTGGGCATACTACACAGATCAACTTCCTCCAGAATCGCCATTTTTGTGGATACAGACTAACACAGCTGCTACTCTGAAACATACCAATCAATGACTCCCTCATGGACCCAGCCAAAACCATCTGGCAGACCCCCCAACAGTGCCACCCATCTTCAAAAGGGCAGATAAAAAGTATTACATCCTATCTAAGGAAATGGAATTCCTTTTTTCACACCACACACCAAACTCCCTGATGGTGGAAGCAGTGAATGAACGGGGCAGAAAACACCATTCCAGAACCATCCCATACTACAGGGACTGGAAGAGACTAGACCTTTTTGGTCGTAAGGCCTACTGATCAGCAACCCTACAATTTAGGATCACCATTAATGGCCAAGTACAATTATACAAACTACTCAAAACTATTGGATTTTATTGAGTTTCTGCCTGAAGAAAAGAAGAACAATTCAGGGCAACCATCTGGAAGGGCAAACTTATCATTCAAACAGCCTTGCAAGTCTAACTGGACTCGGCAGACACAGCAGCATGTTCCATCACCCCAGCTGTAGTTATGCAATGTGCATCCTGGCTCCACCCTTCTGAGTTTCCCAAAGAGGTACAATCCATGGTCAAGGATCTCCCATTTAAAGGCCCCAAGTTACTTGCATCCAAAACCAATGAATCCCTTCACACTTTGAAGAACTCCAGAGTGACCCTGAAATCCTTGGGCATATAAGAATAAGAAAAAAACAGGAGAAGTATTGCTCAGCACAAAGATGTTATACCAATAAAATAAAAACCAGCAGGATCTTATTAAAGGGAAAAAGGCAAAATACCACATTTATTGTGAATACAGAAAGAATCATAGTAAGCAGTTAGTTATAGCTAAAACATTCCATTCAATCTCATATTTATTCACACATTCATTCATACAAACACACACACACAGGTTCTGCAAGGTTGTTATCATAGTTACCAGCCTTAGAGTTGCTCATGCCAAGCCACTGGCCAGGTGGCCTGGACATGAGGAGGGAGCAGGGCCTTGTCAGATGCTCATCTGATGCTCCTGGAAGTTGGTTTGCAGAATCAGACCCCAAAGTTCTCACTTTTTAGAGTCTATTTTTATAGGAATTTCTTCCTATCCCAGTCTATGGGAATTGCTTCATCATGCTGTTGCTGAATCAATCAGCAGATAGCACATTCCTGACGGCTCCGTGCTGCTAGATGTTATCTCGTTCTTTGGTTCTCCCATTCTTGAGGCTGTTGGGTGGATTCCAGTCTGCCCTCCGGGGGTCCTCTGGTTATTTCCACTTGACACCTTCTTCAGCCGATGGACACTGGATTCTTAGGCTGGCACCTCTCTGATCATTCAGTTATTATCCACACCAAGCATCCATCCACATACATCCTCTATCTCTATTTTAATCACAATTGTTAATACAACAAAAGGGTGGGGAGTCTCTGGGTGCTGTTTCTGTTGTTAGAGTATTGCTTTGAGTCTCTCTCTCTGTGAATTGCTTTGAGAACAGACTCTGTCTTAGAATGTACTAACACAATTAGCAGCTTGCAAGTTTCACACATAGAGGGAGAGAAACAGTACCGAAAACCAAGAGACCTCTTAATTAGTAATACCCTGGAATTTAAACTATGGGGAATCAAACTCATTTGTGATTTTAATACAGAACCTCTTTAATATGATCCAACAAAGATTCCGGTCTGTGCCTTATGCACAACCTCAAAGACAATACAACCCTCAAAGATGGAAGCAGAGATCTGAAAGATGATGACAGTCCCTGTCCCAGTCTTCGACGTCCCAGAAACCTCCATTTTGGTTGAGGGCCCGAGATACCCACAATATCAAGTGCTGGAAACACCCACTACCTCCCATCCATTCAGAGACTGTCTGACCCTATCCCATCCAGTTTGACAGACCTTCATGTCAGACAGATGGGTATTAGAGATCATCGAGACTGGCTAGTCCATCCCATTTACCTCTATTTCCCACAAACACCCCCCCACACACACACCCTCAATCCTTGTTCATCTTCAGGTACCCCTCTCGTGAACATCTACTGTGACAGGACGTAAACTATCTCATACAATTAGTACAAACACAACACAAAGGGAGGAAATTTTACTCACATTACTTTTTAACCCAGAAAAAATGTGGAGGATGGAGGCCCATTCTCGACTTAAGGAAACTCAACAAATTAGTGAAGACCCAGCACTTTAGGATGGTCACATTAGCAACCATAATTCCAGCACTGGAAAGAGGAGACTGGTTCTCTGCCCTTGACCTCCAGGACCCATATTTTCATATAACAATACATCTGTCACCCAGGAGGTTCCTCAGGTTTGTTCTAGGAGCAGGCCACTTTCAGTACAAAGTTCTGCCCTTCGGACTGTCCACTACCCCACGGGTATTTTTGAAAGTTCTCATGGTGATGGTGGCTCACCTACGCAGACAAGGGGTCATAATATTCCCCTATTTGGATGATTGTTTACTCAAAGCATTGACTCAACAAGGGACACTAGAAGCTACTCAAAACACAATAGTTCTTTTCACATGTCTAGGGCTACAAATAAATGCACAGAAATCAGCATTCGGACCAGTGCAGAAACTGGAGTTCATCGGGGCCTGCCTCAGCTCTCTGGCGGCTACAGCCTCACTGCCCCAACAATGATTCACAGGGCAGAGGGAACTGGGAGCCCTTATGGCACAGTCATCCATACACAACATTCTTCAAAAATAAAGTTACCTTAAGACTGCATCTTACCTAAGGTTCTTACCTAAGGTTGCCTCTTCATTCCATCTTAATCAACCCATTCACCTCCCATCATTCTTCCCAAAACCCGATGAGAAGAAAAGAGAAGCAGCACTTCACACCCTGGATGTCGGAAGGGTGCTAGCCTTTTACATCGAGAGAACAAAGACTTTCAGAAAGTCACCAAAATTATTCTGTTCCATTGTAGAATGATCAAAAGGAGATGCCATATCTAAACAGGGGCTGTCTAAATGGATCTCCAGATGCACTGACTTTTGTTATCACTAACAACAGCGACAGCCCCCTCCAGGGACTCACATACACTCCATCAGAGCTCTGTCTGCTTTGATAGCCTTCCTTAACAATGTCCCCGCTATGGATATCTGCAAAGCAGCAACCTGGGCGTGTTCCCATACATTCACACACATTTATGCCATAGAGCAGCACGCATCCTCAGATGCTTTATGTGGATTACGATTTTATCATCTGCCATGACTGCAACTCTGAAGCCCCTTTCTTCCACCAAGGGGACCTGCTCTACAGTCATCTAAAGTGGAGCATCCACAGGGACACTCCAAGAAGAAGAGAAGGTTACTCACCCTGTGCAGTAATTGAGGTTCTTTGAGATGGTTGTTCCTGTGGGTGCTCCACTACCCTCCCTCCTCCTCTCGACTTCAGATTTTTCATGCTGGATACTCTGAAATAGAGAATAAACTGAGGGGGGGTTGGTCGCACAGTGCTATGTAACCGATTGAGGCGGCGCAAGACAGGGACACCGCATGTGCAACCCAACCTGGCACTGCTACTATAAATCTGCGATTACAAGCACAGGGGTGCGGAATTACCTAAAATAGAACACCCACATGGACAACCATCTCAAAGAGCCTCAGTTACGGCATAGGGTAAGTAACCTTCTCCTACAGTTATGGTCCTGTAACAGGCTCTTGCCTCGCCCATTTTCAGACCCTGCTGCTGCTGCCTTAGTGTCCCCTTTTCTGCAGCTAAACCAACCAGTGCTTTTTGTTTGTTCTCCCCTTTTGTAGACCTGTTTATTAATATAAAATAAATGTGCAGTGGGGCACACTCCCAGTTCAGAGCACCCCCTTGCATCCATGCTTAATGTCGCCAGTATCCTGAGCTGAAGCACCTCCTGCAGGCTATCTGCCTCTCACATGGTCTTCTGTGGCTCAGCTTTTCTGTTAAGTCACATTCAGTTACTCCAAAAGGGGGTTGAACTTTCAGATCCAAATGAAAATCCAAATAATTTTTCTGCTCCCTTAGGCTACTGAAGGCTACTGCTTCCACTTACAAAGCCTAATCTCAGGGCTTCCTCCCACAGGAGACTACTGTGCTCCCTGTGGGTCTCTTCCAGCTGTTGTAGACCCTAACTCAGCTCCCCCCCTCACCCCCAGAAGCCTACTCTACCCCCTATGGGTTTCTCTCCACAGAAGAGTCCTACCTCCTCTGCAGTCTCTCCCTCGATCTTGTCCCCTTTCCATGCCCTTCCTGAGCTCCTAATTCCCTCTAAAATATTTTTCTCCTTCTGCAAGTAGCTCCAGACAGGCCTTTCCTTATGGCTAGTAGGGACAACTTCTTCCCCAGTCCTTCCTAACCCTGGATCCCCTCTGGTTCCCTGCAGCTCTCTTCTCTTTACCCTGGTATCAAGCATTCGGTCCCAGCTCTGCCAGCCCACTCCAGACTCTGACCCGCTATGGAGAGATCTCCTCTAGGTGGTTTCCTACTTTGAGGGAACAGGCAACCTTTTACAGAAGTCCTTGCTCCTGGGCTACCCTGTGATACCAGGTCACCCAACCCAATCACCAGCCCAAACCATCCCCTGGGAGGTGGGCTGATCCCAATTTCCCTTTAAGGGCTAGCTCATTCTGTTATGGATCCCAAATTCATATTTAGGTACTTAAATCAGAAGTCAGATTTTCAAATGCACTGAGTACCCAACAACTTCCATTTTAGGACACTTTTTTTAGGAAATTGTGTGATATAGAAGTTACTAGAAACCAGGACATTGATGTTTTGGTTTTGGCTCTGCTGCTGGCTTGAAGTGTGACCTTAGGCAAATCACTTAATATCTTTGTGTGTCAATTTATTGTTCTATAAAATGGTTATAACAATGGTGACCTCAAAAGCATGCTGTGATGATTAATATTTATAAAGTGCTTTGAACTCATTGCTTGAAAGCGGCTATGTAAGCTCAAAGAGTAGTATTATGTATTATATTTAACTTGGCTAGTCACCAAAGGCAGGCAGGAGGGAACATTATATGGTTAACGTCATAGCCAAAGGACATTACTGCAGTTTTAATACTAGGTATGGTCCCAGGTCTTGTTATCAGTCTTGAATCTGTGGCCTTCTGGCCCAGAGGCAAAAGTACTATTAACTGAGACATATAAGCAGTGGACAATCAACAACATAATTACTTAAAACAATTGTTTAACTTGTTTTTCTCTTTTCTGTTTAGGTGCTCACCTGCTAGAGGTTATCGTCTGCCAACAAGTGCCTTAATTAACCTATCTCATGGTAGTCGGTCCGAAACAGGAAATCAGAAACTGACAGCCATAGTGAAACCACAACCAGCTGTGAATCATTACAACTCATGCTCATCTGATTCATCATCTGTATGCTCACAAAAAGTACATCTAGGAGGTCTCAACCATTCTCCTCGTTCCCTTTTTGTTCCTACTCGAGTAAGATCTTTCTCTTTAGTTTATATACAGTCCTTTTCCCAAAGAAATGGAGTTAGTACTGTGGTTGGATCTTCATTGATACTGACAGAATTTTGTATTTTTCCTGGTTATGGTTAGACAGAGTTTAGTGACTCAGTAATATATGGAGGCTTTTACACTAATTCACTAAGGCACTAATTCAGATCTGTCCAAAATTCAAATGGCCCAAAACCTTGGTCCCTCTGACAGCAGTTTGATGGCCTTTGTGAAAGAAGTTGGTAGCTTCAGTCCAGTTACTGGTGGGCAAGTGTCTAAAGTAGCCTTTCTATTAGCAACCTTGGCAGAAAGACAACTATCTTCTTTTTTTCCCAACCCCCATCAAATAGTGATTGTTCTTATGGATCAGGATTGTATCCCTGCTGAGAATAAACAGAAGACTTAATTTTCCTGTGTTATCTATTTTGTACCTTGGTGAGAATTCAGTTCATTTTGGAAATATAATACACAAGAAAAATGGCATGAATAAGACTGAGTTGTCATAGGCTTAATTTAACTATTTTATCTTAATGAGCAGTTTCTTTAAAGAACAGTGAGACTTTGAGGGATGATTTCTTGTTTAAGAATTCTCTCATAATGTAAATCTGTGGAAGAAAAATCATTCTACAAAATAACTTAGAAACAATGAAACACCTCTGATCTACTTTTTTAAATCAATGATTTAGCAACTAAATGGAAGACAGCATTACAATCTCAGGGCTGAAAATCAGGGAAATTCCATTTTACTACAGAAAGGATCTTTTTTGGGAGGCAATCAGAAACAAAAAGTAAGTGTTATGATTTGTTTTCTTATTGGGTATTAAAAGTCCATATTCAGTTTATGTGCAGTGGGATTTAAACCTTTTGAAAACATTAGAGCAAATATCACTCTCAGTCAAACAGAAAGTTAAACTGGCTGTTGTTTAGCAAAGTATACTTGCCAAAAGGAAGTTATACACTATCCAGATCGTCACAGAACAAAAAAATAATGGATTCAAATGAATATACAGTAAGAGTTAAGCTGTTGCTGTGAGTATGGCTGCATTTCCAGCTTGCTTGTTAGAGGCTAGTATTTGTAATGGCTCACTATTTATAATAGTGTCCTTTTGCCTTAGCTTTACAGATTTTTAGCATTGCCAGACTACCCTTGTCAAACACACGTGTTTTGTAATCCAGATTCAAACTGAGGCAGCCTTTAATGAATCTGTAAGGAAGTGAGTGTATTTAACCCATTTCAGTATGGATTGATTTAAAACAAGGCAATTTAAATCATTAATTAAATAACCAAGTGGAAAGCCTTGAATTAAATCTATTTTAATCAACTCTTCCATTTGTACTTCAGTTATTTTCTAAAGAAGGGTGCATTGTCGTTGGTTGATATAACCATTAAAATGTTTTGATTTAAAACTAAATAGAGCATTTTTGCTAGATTTGGTACATCTTTGTGCTACACTACCTGTATTCATTTATTTAAGCAATAGCTTAATATTTTCAGATTCTTATTGTATATTTTAAGTAAGAAAATGGTGAAAGATATTTTGCTTATTTACTAGATAATTAACTTTTTGCTAATATTTGTGTCAAGATGGATTAGAATGGTAACTGGAATTTAATTAAACATGCAAAACAGCATATAAAATGTATTTTTATTAAACAAACCCTTGACTTTTTTTGATCCATAAACTTCTCTTTTCGAAACATCCAACTAAGTGATTTATTAAACAGAGGGAGTAACTGTAGTCAGTGAATTAAACTGACTGTTTCAGGTCACCCTGGGAAAATTTTCAAGTAAATTGAAGTGAAAGTGCCTGGAGCTTAGTTCCTACTCACCTAAGTGTCTTGAAAATGAGACAATCTCCTAAGTAACTTAGGCTGATCTATTGTGCCATATGTTTGAAGCTTGACCTCAAAAGTTAGAATTTTTCCCCTGATTCTTTCTTTATATAGAAAAGGAGCCTTTAACTCAGAGTTTTTGATAGAGGCTCATTGATTCAGCATATTTATTTTTATTTAAATGACTTAAGAGATTATAATAAGTTTAAGCCTTAACATATTTTATATTTAAATCAGATTTCATTTAAACAGGTTTATTTTTAAAAAGATAAACGTAGTATAATTTAAATGACAAAATTAAAAAAACCTGATTTAAATTAAAAAAAACCCCTTTTTTAAAAAATGTTTTCCAAAAAAATCGTATTATTTTTTTTTTTTACACACCTTCCCATTCAGGCCATAAGATCCTCTTAATAATTGTTGTTTACATATTTGAGCCCCATTCCTACACAAATGCATGCATAACTTTACTCAAGTGAGTAGAGCTGTTGGATGAGGGTTTGCAAGATCAAGGCCTTAGCAATGAAACAGATACTGGCTTGGGAACATGCATGCCTTTGGAAGGAAACTTGAAATGCATTTTGTTACATTCTTTCATTTTAGAAAAATTTAGAGGTTACTGGTGAAGGGAAAACATCAAAACAAACTAATTCCATTAACATTTTAGGGAAACACTTAGGGAAAGTCATAGTATAAATATGGCCTAGTTTTCAGAAGTTACAAACACCTACAAATTCTTTTGAAGTCATTGGGACAATTGCTCAGCACCTTTGAAAGTCAAGCCTTAAGAATTTATTTGTATCTCTGTTGGAGCAAAAGTTGTATTTATAGGTTTTTAAAAAAAATATTTTGCCAGGCTCAGAATAAACAAGATGATGAATTTTGCAGCATTTGGCAATCACTGCAAGGGTCTGGGAAATCTCAGCATGTTCAACAAAATATGAATGAGAAGGTTAGTATATAACTGACATTATGAATAACATTTTCACTGAAGTTCCTTCTGTTTAGAGAGAAAATATTGGTTTGTGGGTATATGTTATGTATGGACAACGTAAAATATAGAGGCATTTCTTCATTTTCACTGAATTCATCACAAGATTAAACATTTTTTGGCTAATATCAAAGATCAGACTAGCTAATTTTGTGTAGTATAAAACTTTATTGAAAATTGTTGAAAGAGGTGATGACTTGTTGTAAAGATTGTAAATGACTGTGTGTGTCTGTCTTCTGATTAATATTAAATGTGTGAATATTTCAATTCCTAGGGTGCAATCCTACCTCAAGAAACAAAGCCAGAAACTGGCAACCAGTTGTACAAACCAGGCTTCAATGAGAGTACCCTTAAAGGCCAGCAAAGAAAACAGGAGCCATTTAAAAAGTGTAAGTACTATAATTAGAAATCTAGTTTTGAAAAAGGTGGCCTGTGTTTCTGATTGTTTATAGAAATATCTGCAGAGTTTCTTTGCTATCAACATTTTATAAACAAATGGTTTTATGAACACAATACTGTATATATTCTGGTCAAATCCTGGTCCCATTGAGCCCAAATGGGCCAGGATTGGCTGTTTTTAAGCATATCTGACCTCTCTACAAATTGACCCTGCAGTCTTTAATCAAGCAATTGGCCCACATTATCAAACTTATAGAGGATGTTTTTGCATGTACAACCTTTGGAAGGAAAAGTAAACATGTTTACTAGACACGAGTAAAGCTACATAAGCATTATCACATAATTAAGGTATGCTTCTTTTATCCTGTGAAGAAAAGTGCATAGGAACAATAAAGTCGGAATTAACAAATGTTTGAGACATAAACTCAAATTTAATTCTGATTTAATCTAATTGGGGACATATAATGGTTTCTGGAGTCAATTTGATTATTTTCATATATTTTACAAGCAGTAAAAAAGAATAAATGTTCCTTTGCGCAGCTGATACTGTGAACTAATTTATTTGTAGTTAAAGAAGATTCTAAAGTTCCAAGATATGAAAGTCAGACACACAAAATATCAAATAAACAGGTATATTTCCTCTTATATTGAGAACATGTATACCAATAATTATTTATTTGTTTTTATTACTATTTTCTAGTTTGTCATTTTACAAATTGTCTCCACTGAGCAGCTCAGTGAATTCTGCTGCCAGCTATCGAAAGGTTCTTGTATTTGTGGCTGTTTTTATCCTTTAGAAATTTTATATAACATTGTACCATTGTTCTTGGAGCCTTTACAGGCAGAAAATTAGAGATGATGCTTCTGTCAGACATGATACATATTATGACATGTCGTTCCAAGACTGATGCTAGCAAGCATGTCAGAAGTTTTTTTAATCTCTTCCATTGTTTTAATTATTCTGCAGTTTTTCTGGCTTCAGATGTTTAAAGCTGATACTATAATTGCAAAACATAGATGTTATCATGGACACTGAATGCATCCGATGAAGTGAGCTGTAGCACACGAAAGCTTATGCTCAAATAAATTTGTTAGTCTCTAAGGTGCCACAAGTACTCCTTTTTTATTCCATTAGGGTGTAGTCCATTCAGATACAAGAAGGACAGCTTGTGAAATATTATTTGCAGATTATTTTCAGCTGATCTACATTTTAACTGTGAGGTGTTAGTGTGTAATAATCAACATTGCAATTTCTTTCAGAATTTTGCAGGAGCAAATAAATATAATGTTAAGCTTTTGAAGAGGAATGAAAGTCCAAGTGTGCCTGTAATTCAGAAGGCTTCTGTTGATGGGTCCTGTATAGCTGGGAAGGCAAAAGTTGGCTTGTTAAATGTGAGTATGCTTCTGACTAGTTTGGCCCTTTAATGCTTAGATACTTTCAACCTGGAAGTCACTCTGTGCCCACAGTCCCCATTGACTTGAATGGAGTTCCACATATAGAGAGCTGTATTAGGATCAGACGATGACAAAACTAAATAGCCTGAAGTAGACTTAATGTTTCTTTAAACCAGTTATTTCTGGTCATGGTATTTATTATTTTAAGTACAAAGTTTTACATTAATTTTTTAGTATCTTCTTACCTCTATTCCTTAGAAGGACTCTGAACTTGAAAACCTTCTAGCATCCTTGAAAATCTCCAAAGAAAATGAAGTGCAATCATCTTATCCCAAGGAAGAAAGAGTCACCAATGAAGAACATCTGTCTCCACAGTCTTTTGCTATGGTTTGTGTATTGTGGGAGCCATTGGGTGACAATTTAACATTTGCTTTCTTAGCTTCTTATACTTCTGTTTACAAACAAATCTACATATTACTTTATTAAACATAATTATATTTAATTAACTTTTCTTAAAGCAAATAACGTATACAGTTAATAGTAAAATATTACTTTTCAGGGAAATAAAAAGTTGCAATTTTTGTTACCATTGTGCAGGATTTTTAATTCTCTTTGAATAGTGCAATCTAAATTTAATTGGATTGTTGAATATTTTCTTCTTTTCTAAAGAAGGGAACACAGATGCTCAAAGAAATTTTGAAGATTGATGGCTCTGACATAGAAACCAAGAATGAAATGAAGCCACTGATTAATGAAGTTCCTGCTACCTCCGATAGGCAGGAATCCCATGGGGCTGCCATGCAGCATAGACAAACAAAAAAAATGGGTATGTACAGATACCAGCTAATCCTCAGCAAAATAGTTAAAGAGCCTTATGTTAACTTATCTCTACAATTAGTAAAAAGATTGCTATTGATACTTGTTTTCAGGATCAAACAGTAGAATTTTCCATATTTTCTATCCCCTTTTTACTATTCAGCCCTGGAAATCCCTATACTACCTAAGTAAACTCTTGAATATGTAGCATTAAAGTCAGACATTCTGAAAATACCAGGAACGTATTCAAATATACTTGCTTCTGTGTTGGTGTTTTAGAATTGTCTTTTTATTCTATATATTTGCCTGATACTATTTTTTTCTTGTTTTCTTTTTTATAGCTGCTTACATGAACAAGCCTCATAGTGTAGGAGGCCCTCATAATGCTCAGGTTTTGGAAACTGGAGGTCACCCTCTCCTTGGCCCACAGTCTGCGTTGTCTACCCCAGTATCTGAACTCTCTCGTATTTGTTCCCTGGTTGGAATGCCACAACCAGATTTCTCCTTCCTCAGAACACCACAGGTATGGTTTGTTTTATAGGTATAACTACAGGCTGGTAGAGTAAGCTGCATGCATGTAAATCATGCCCTTTGCTATGAATTTGCACTAATAACTAAAATCCCAGTGTAGATGAGACTTTGATGCCTCTTGTTTGGTTTGATTCGTTTCCAAAAGAAAATTCTGAACTTAAAACTATTGTATTAATTCATGTTAATCTGTCTCAAATTTTAACTCTTCTGTTTACTTGCATACAGTGATGACAAAAAAAACTTTCATGAAAAAAATCTATTTTATGTTATTTTCATAGACCATGACAGTTTGTCAAGTAAAATTATCCAATGGCTTATTAGTACATGGACCTCAGTGTCACTCTGAAAATGAAGCCAAGGAGAGAGCTGCGTTTTTTGCATTACAACGATTGGTGAGAACAATATATTGTATAACACCTTGTATCTTTTTCTTGTTTTATTGAGCCTGTTATAATAAATTATTCTCTCTTAACTAGAGCTCTTTAGGAGTGAACTTTTCTTTGCCGCCACCTCCATCAATGTTTCCAAATTATCAGTCCATGGGAGCTCCTGTACCACCTGGATCCATTCCTCCAGTCTTCACCCAACCCACTGGTAAGTAATAATACACTTTTTTCAAATAATGAAAACTTGACTGTAATTCTAATAGGATTTTGTGAAGATGGGTGACTTCCAGAGAACACCATTTTAGGCCCTGCTGTATGTAGATGTACCTCTGAGCCTCCTTGAAAATGGAAATTTGTGAACCTCCTCTCATGGACACATGAATTAAGAACAAAGAATTCCACACCTTCCATTTGTTCAGTCGCTCTTCTCAGGACGTGTGTCAATGTGCTATCTATTGGTTTTTCTCCTGAATACAATAGGAAGCAGACTAGAACTGTTGGTCCTGGTCAGTAGGAAGGAAGACACATCTACTTCTAGGACCTGCCAGAAAGCTCTGCTTTTGTGACTTCCTCTCCATATCGTCTCAACTAGTATTTTTCTAGTATTTTCTCCTATAGCTAACAATCATCTTTGAATTGGCAAATCAAGGCACCCTTTGTCATATTTTTTGGAACCAGCTCTAGAGTCTTTTCAGTACTTCCCTGAGACACTATGTAGGAAGGCTGCCACACTCTGCCAAGCAGTGTCGTGATGTAACAACCCAAGAAAGCCTGCTGAAAATTCCCATGGTACCATTAATACTCTGCTATTTTTGTAGAATGCAAGAAGGGTTGTGACAGTGGTGACCAGCAATTAGGCACTTAGCAATAGGGTAGGATTCGAGGTCCCCAAGCAGGCACTGCTCCCCCACTTCTCCTCAGTCTTTGCATTGTTGACTGGTTTCAGAGAGAGTGCATTCTGCCCTTCTCAGTTGTAAAACAGGGCCTTTGTGGTGAAAGAAGCAAAGTGAAAAAATATCCTGGAGATACTCTGCGTTTGGAGAACTCCCCACCCTCCTAAAAGGAAGTAATAGAAACTAAATGTTATTTGTCGTTTTTTACAGCCAATATGATGCCTCCATCATCTCACATGTTTGGTCCAGTGCCATGGAGAGCTCCAGTGCCTATTCATGGCAAACCTTACTATCCCGGTTCATATCATGGTAATATGCCTCTTGCAGGAACTATACCAGTTGGTACTCACAACCAGTTTATTCCTCTACAGGTAAGTATGACAGGAATTGTCTTGAGATCATATTTTTGTAAAAGATGTTAAAAGTATTTATATACAAGCTGAAAGCCCATGCTGCCACACAGATGTAACTTGTAAAGTCAAGTGTATACATAAGTCGAAAATGGCCAAGAACTTAAAAACTGGTCTGTATCAGACCCTGAATGCCAGTAATGTTTCAATGTGGTGATATTCTGAACAAAGAGAGCTCTCAACCATGCTTGTAACTGTTTCCATCTCTTTCCACTGATTCCACAGATATTCTAGGCTTCAGGGTGACAATCCTGTAATCTTATTTTTAGAGATATAATGGCTGCAAAGACAGTCCTGTGGATACATTGTTTAGTTTTAGAAAATTATTAAACTGCTCTATGTGCATTTTTATAGTGGTAAATTTTTTTCAGTTTTGTGAGAGGACATTCTTTTAAATAATATTTATTTGATTTAAAGGTAACTAAAAAAAGGGCTGCTAGCAAGAAAAATTCCGAGTTCAAAGAATTCCAGAGCTCCCTTCAAGCTGTACCACTAAAGAATGAACAGCTAATGTATTCTGACACCAACAAGCCCATTCAACAAGATACTTCAACTACTTTAAAATCTCCTCAAGCTGTTCAGTCTACTGTTTGTTTTCAAGACAACATAGCTACTCCAGACGTTCCTCATAACAAATCAACACCAAACATTTCTAGCAAACGAAAGCCAAGAAAACTGGCTGTCAATTTTGGTGCACCAAAATCTTCAGAATAAATACTGTAGCTAGACTGATTTTATCTTTCCTCTTCCCCCAGTGTTCTTCATATATATAATTTATGATTTTTAAGGACAGATATATATGTCCTTAAAAAAATCATAATGCTATTTAGAAAAATCAACCATTTTAAGTATGATTTTATTTTTCCCCTTACCCCCGTGTTTATATATTATATCTATCTCTCCTTTAAAAAATCATAAAGCATTATTTTAAAAAAATAAGTATAATAAAGAGTGAAAGACTTTCAGTTGGTAGGCTTTTTCAGGCTGTTGATAAATACATATAAAAATTATGTTAAAATTTGATTAAAGATCTTGACTTAAACTGATAAAAGCCAGAAAATCCTGAATTAAGGTCACCACACAATCCATTGGTGCCTAGGTCTCTGAACAGTGGCTTACATACTATAGCGGGTGAGCAGCAATAATATTAGAGTGGGAATCCTAATTCAGAATTGCCTTGCTTTTGGGGTGGGATATGGGGCAGTAATAAGTCAGGCACTGAACATTGCTTAACACGATCTTTTGTATTTTAACTCCTTTTTCATGGTAATGTAATAAAATAGAGAAGGCTTTTATTTACCTGTAAATTTCATATGACAGAGAACAAAAATAAATTAATGGAAGACAACTGGCTTATAGAATATAAGCAAATGCAAACTGACTTGCAAATGAAGTTCTCAGTTCAAATTATATTAATAAAGTTGCTAGTTGGGATTCATTTTAAAATCTGACTCCACTTTACCAACGTAGACCTCCACTACACATCCACATGCAAGTCTTCATGGACTCCAAAAACCACAAAAATCCTGAATTTTTCTAAATTATAAAATGAGTAGAACGCAAAGGTATTTGTATATATAGCATGATAATCAAACTCATGCTTACCCTTTGAGCCAATTTCTCCCACCTGCAGTTTTCACCATACAGTGAACATTGTAATCTGACAGGTTCTCTTTTCTAAATTATTATTTTTTTGGTAGTTAGCTGGCTTTTAATAGATATTTTAATTTCATGGTAATATATGGTGGCAGAGGACACACTAAATTGTCATCCTTGAGTTAGAGTTCTAAGCTTATTCCCTAATAACATCCAGACAAAAAATTCTCAATTTACCTTTTTGGAGGGAATTATCACTTTAACTAGTAATATCTTAATTCTTTATGTATCTTGTCTATCTAAAAGAAAGAAAAAACTGAAAGGGCCCTGTACTACCTTATGATCCACGCATCCATGCAATTCTTATTCTTCATAAATGAAAAGTCTATGGATCCAAAGCAAAACTTGGTCTGATGTCTCGTCTCATTTGGTGCACTCTGCAGATGTTGGCTGAGTCTGCACCACCATTTTTACCTTATTCTTGTCTGTCCTGGTGAAAATACTTTACCTCCAAACCGTAGAAGGATTAGTGATATGTCAGACTTTAATCAGTGATTCAATACATTGTCTCTAAGCAGACTTCATGCAGGACATGCAAGTTTGCAGAATTTTCTTCGGTTTCTTGTCTTGCTATTTTGCCAAGGTAACATAGCTTCACTTTCCTATAGTAGTGTCCAATTTCATCTCACAGAGTTTCTCTTCCTAAGGTTTTTATTCATTTTCCCAAAACTGTTTTTGTCTCCTCTCTGCTGTCATGCCTTCCAGGGGGTCTTTGATAGCTATTGCTACTTCTATCCTTCCCATAGACAGTGTATTCTCTCAGAAATTTTATTTGGTATTTTTTGGCCGGATACTTGTCTTCTAGGCCTCTGATATGCCAGTCCTTTTAAGTAGTCTGTACATAATCATAAAACTCTTCTGGTTAATCTGGATTGACTGTCCCACAGAGATGACAGATTCTGTATGTGGATCCAGTGTATTTAAACTCTGATTCCAGAAATCATGTAATTTCAGGATTATTTTTATGTTGTGCCTTGTTACTCATTCAAAATCCCTACACATCTCCAAGCTAGAATAGCAAGCTGCAGGTCTTTACACTGATTAACTTTTGTACAACTTTTTTAAAGAAGATAGTGAGTCTCTCAATAGCATCTTGCTCCTACTTAGTCTCAAAGGTTCATCTATATTCTGTTGTGTTGCGTGCTTTTCCTTAAATCTGATGCTTTCCAATGTGAGTTCCTTCTTCACAATGTGAATTTTAAGATCTTTAATTATTAAATTAATTGAAACGATTTCTTGTTTAAATTAACTTAGATTTATAGGGTTCAAAATCCTGTTTCTCAGAGGCAACATCTATCAAAATATATTAACTCCTGTATTTTTTGAGCTTTGCCTTTGAGAGGGTCTTAAGGTACATTCCACTAAGAAAAAGTTGACCTTCACAATGTATCTGTATCTCATCAACAACATTAGGGATGATATTGGCATGATACTGACATAAATATTTTTAAAATGTTGCTTCTCCTAACTAAATTTCCATACCCTGAGTTCCCAGTCTCTTGTACTATTATTTGATCTCCAGTGTGGGAACTTTTGAGAAGCGCCCATTATGGAGAAAACTGGATTACGTTCTGCTAGCACACCTTCAAACCTTCCAAAGAGATTTTCATCTCCATAAAACCTTGTTTTTCAGTGTTATCCCCAAGATTACATGGCTAGTAGATGCTGGGTGCAGGTACTAGAGTCTCTGCTGAAATACTGAATTACATAGTTTATAGTGTCCTCTTGTATCTAGATAGCCAGATATGCAAATATGTAAAGAATGATTTGTGAAGGAGACTATGCCAATACAAGTATAAATAAACCATTTTTTCCCTCATGAAATGGTTACTTTCAAAGCAGGAGCTGAATTTTTTCCCAGTGCCACTGAAACTGCCATACTAAATTTCTATACATAAGTTAAATATTTGATTCTATATCTGCTGTGTACTGTATTAGTCCCTATTTCCTAGTTACCCTTACTGTCCATTTTATCTGTATTTATGGGTTCTGTAATGTCCACTACCTGGTGCCCAATCAACTTATTTTAGCTTTCACATGTTCTCTTACATGTGATGTGTACATTGACCTATGCCATATCATCTATTATTTCAGCTCTTTTGTTTTTATATTCTATGTCAACTCTGTAATTATGTTTAATTCATACAGGTATAACTTTAAACATTCATTTTTCTCATAGATATAAAGTATTTTGTAAGTACTGGAATTTTTCATTAGATCTTATACAGAGCAGTATTTTATTAAAAATCCAGAAGGGAAGACTTTTATGTGTGCATTTTTGTAGTTTGATTTTTTTAAAATAACTTTTCATTGTTTATCTGCCAAGTGAAATGTTTTCAATTTGCATATGAATGGATATGGAATGTATTTTTTTGTCCTGTTTAGTGTTGTGCATCTGCAGATTTCTAGTATGTAGTTGCATAAAGGACTGTGCAAACATATTTTAAAATATGAACATAAGATACACTGAAGGATAAAAATTATTCATAAGAGTTAAATGCTATACAGAATTTGAATTCAACAGAATAATTTTATAAACCTGTTCGTTGTCTGCGTCTGCTTGGATTAAATATTGAAACTAGAAACATGATTTATCTTAAGTGTTTTATATTCAAGTGCCTGTTATTTGGGAACAACCTTACCTTGCCCTTAATCCAAAGTTTCAGAATTGGGTTAAACTTGTTAAAAGCCCAGTTGTTCTGATTCCAAAGAGCAGCAAGCTTCCATTTTACTGGAGTGGTTGCTTGATGTCTCATCACCAGTCATTCAGGAGACCAAAAGCATGAATTTTCAATGATTGCCAGTCAGTTACAAATGAAACACCTTCAACTGGCTATTGAGGATCTGCTAATGTTGCTTGAGCTTCTGCTGCTAGTTAAGAGCAGCGGTCAGAAGATAACACTTGATTCTGTAATGGGAGAGCATAGTGCTAGGATCCCCACATGAGCAGCTGTAACCTGTAAAGCCTAGAGGTGACTGAAGGGCCATGAGGATCCCAACAGTCAAGAATGATAAGTTAAAAATTTTTTTCCAAGGAGTACAGTATATGATCTCTTGACATGAAGACATCTGGAAAAGTAGTATCAATGACATGACATTCTGGTAAGAAGCCATTTCCCATACTCAGACCAGAGAGTTCTGGAGATGTTTTCCAGTCAGAGCAATCTAATAATACTCCCCCCGTCAGGCAAATAATATTCTGTCAGGCAAACCCTTGAACAAAGTAGAATGACAGAACGTGTACTGAAGATACAAATTGAGATGCATGTAAACTCCTTAAAGAAAGAAAATACAGTTTTGTTATTTGAATAAGTAACAAGTTGCTACATAAAATGATCAGTGTCACAAACCTCAACATTTTAAAACTTATTTTAAACTTTAAAAGCCTTAAAAGGCAATTGCATTATTTTCTTCCATTGTTATTTGGAGAGGGAAGGGGGAGAATCCTCTCCTTTGAGTGCTTGCCAATATGTATTTCATTCATAGTACATGTGCCCCAGGCGTCAAGTTTGAATTCTTTTAGCCAGCAGTGTCCATTGGAGCTGCGCCTCTGTCATGGTGTCCCAACCCAAGGGCATAAAGGTGTGGAGTGGGCCCAACTATCCCAAAGTTCTTTTTTGCTGCTTATGAATGCAAGTAGATCAGGAGGTGGCAGCACGCTGCTTCTCATGAATCTGCAACCCTAGGCAGCTGCTGAAAAATCTGCCCTCACTTAGGCGCCTGCCTAGTTCATCTATAGCTAAAGCAGCCCCCATCCAGAAGGGACTTCTTGGGAGTCACCAAGAATGAACAGTTGTAAAGTAACTATATTAATGTTGGAAGGGAAATAGTGTGAAGTGTGCTTTAATTGGGGTTATCATATCTCCTGTGAGAGATGTGTTCTGTATCTTAAAAAATAGACACACTAAAGGATACTAAGGAAGGAGTGATTAAGGGGAAAGGGGGATGGAAGAGAATGGAGATGGGAAGTAGAGGAGCATTTAGGGGTTCTGTGTAAATCCTCTCTTTGTAACTCAAATGATCCGATGATAATCCAGAGGTGGGCAAACTAGAGCTCATGGGACCATCCTGCCCAACCCCTGAGCTCCTGCCCTGGGAGGCTAGCCCCTGGTCTGCCCTGTTGTCGTCTCCCTGTGGCTACGCCGCTGCACAGGCGGTGCTCTGGGCAGTGGGGCTGTGCGCTCATGCAGGGCAGCGCCACAGAGTGTCTGGCTCCGGCACGGCTCCCAGACATGCTGCTCTGAGCAGCATGGTAAGGGGGCCGGGACCAGGGGGTTGGATAAGGGGCAGGGGCTCCTGGGGGGCAGTCAGGGAGCAGAGGGCAGTTGGATAGGGGATGAGGTCCCCGGGGGGCAGTTAGGGGCAGGGGGTTCCGGGAGGGGGTGGGCAGGGGACGAGAAACAGGGAGCAGTTGGATAGGGCAGAGGTTCTGGGGGTGGGGGTTAAATAGAGGGTGGAGTCCTGGGGGGCGGTTAGGGGACAAGGAGCAGGGGGAGGGTTCTGACAGGCGTGGGAAGTGGGAGAGGGCGGAGGCCAGGCTGTTTGGGGAGGCACAGCCTTCCCTACCTGGCCCTCCATACAGTTTCGCACCCCGATGTGGCCTTCGGGCCAAAAAGTTCCCCCCCCCCCGGTAATCTATCCCTAAGGGTGAAGATTACCATAAATGGAAAACATAGCTTTTTTGGATTACAAGTGAAATAGTCCGAGTGTTCATGGGGAAAGTACGGGACCTGGGGGTTCAGCAAAGCGCAGTTGTTTGAGGTCTGATTTATATGCTATTCTAGTATTTTATTTTTGGATTTAAAGAAAAGGGAATGCAGGAGGGGTAGAGGGAAATTATTACAAGAAATACAAAAGTTTACAGACAAAAACTAAGCCATATTTAGGTACGCAAATGCAGCATAACTAGAAACAAGAGAGACATGGCCACACAAGGCTTCATGCCATCAAACAGCTAAAGAATGAGAGTTTCAAGATTTTAGGTAAAGTGAAATAGTTATCAATGGTTCTTCCTTTTAAAGTAACATATTTGAATGTCAAAGGGCTAAATAATGACACTAAAAAGAAAAAAAGACCTGACCTGGCAGAACTTAAAAACAAAAACACAAAAGAATCTAAAAGAAAAATCTCAGATTATTTTATTTCAAGAAACTCATTTTCTCAGGAGGGGCCAATTATTACGATGAAAGGTAATTAATTGGTTTTCAGCAGCCTTTCTTTTTGCTTCAGCCAAAGAAAAGGAAAGAGGAGTGGGCATAATATTTTTTAAACTTGAACTTTTTCAGATTAAAGATCAATTTAAGGATAAGGAGGGATGTTTTGTCTTATTAATAACCCAGCAATTGTGCTTCAACAACAGTAGGCTCAGTGTATGTTCCCAATCAAAAGCAAAAAAAATGTTAATGACTCTCAAAAAAAACTGCAACACTTTGGAGAAGGGGAAGTTATAGCTGGAGGAGACTTCACTTGCACACCAATTCCTCACAAGGGCAGATCTGACTTTAAAAAAAAAAAGACAAGGAGGCTATAAGAAGCAGGTGCAGCATTAACTTCTCTGTGCCAACAATTCAGTCTCTCAGCTGGAGAGAATTGCACCCAGGGAAAAGAGCTCACACATTTTATTCACACCTTCCTCAGTTATATACTAGAATAGATTTTATTTTAGTCTCTGAATCCTTAATGAACCAGACAAGAGCTGCAGATCATTCATGCACCAAGCGGAATAGTCTTTGATAGCTGGGATGGATCCCAAAAATCACTTTTTTGGAAAATGAACAGCCTGCTTCTCCAAGACAAAGATCAGGTTGCAGCAATGAGAGAGGACGTTGTTCGGTACTTAAAAATAAATTCATGGATTCCTAGACCAATCAGTACCATTGTGATCATTTCATCTGACATCCTGTATAACACAGGCCATAGAACTTCCCCAAAATAATTCCGAGAGCACATATTTTAGAAAGCATCCAATCTGGATTAAGAAATTGTCAATGATGGCAAATTCACCATGACTCTTGGTAAATTATTCCAATGATTAATTACTCTTAAAAATTTACATTTTATTTCCAGTCTGAATATGTCTAGCTTCAACTTCCAGCTATTGGATCATGTTATACCTTTCTCTGCTGGACTGAAGAGCCCATTATTAAATATTTATTCCCCATGTAAATACTTACAGACTGTAAACAAGTCACCCCTTAACCTTCTTGTTAAGCTAAATACATTGAGCTCCTTGAGTCTATCACTGTAAGTCAGTGGTCCCCAAACTGTGGGGCATATCCCCCTTGGGGATGTGGAGGAACATTCAGGGGGGCGCAGCAGGGCCCGGGCCAGCCCCCAAGGTAGGCGGGGAGGGAGTACCACGTAGGCTCTGGCCACAACCCTGCCCCCAGCTGAGCCCTGGCTTCGGCTCCAAGCAGCAGAACTGGCCCCAGCTCCTGGAGGCGCACAAACAGATTACATTACAGGTAAGTGGGAACATGACATAAAAAGTTTGGGGACCACAGCTATAAGGCATGTTCTTTAATCATTCTCACAGCTCTTCTCTGAACCATCTCCAATTTATCAACATCCTTCTTGAATTGTGGGCACTACAACTGGACATAGTATTCCAGCAGCAGTTGCACCAGGGCCAAATACAGAGGTAAAAGAACCTGTCTACTCCTACTTGAGATTTCCATTTATTCATCACAGGATCGCATTAGCTCTTTTGGCCACATCATCACACCGGAAGTTTATGTTAAGCTGACTACCTGCCACCACTTCACATCTTTTTTCAAGTAACTGCTTCCCACGAGTGTCCCTCATCGTGTGAGTATGGCCTACACTCTTTGTTCTTAGATGCATGCATTCACATTTAGCTGCATTAAAATGCATATTGTTTGCTTGTGCCTAGCTTCTCAAGCAATCCAGATCACTCTAAATCAGTGACCCGTCCTCTTCATTATTTACCACTCCCCCAAGTTTTGTATCAACTCCAAAATTTTTCTGTGATGATTTTGTTGTCTTCTAGGTGATTGATAAAAATGTTAAATAGTGTAGGACCAAGAACCCATTCCTGTAGGACTCCACTGGAAACACATCCACTCAATGATGATTCCCCATTACTATTACATTTTGAGAACTATCAGTCAGTTTTTAATCCTTTTAATGTGTGCCATGTTCATTTTATATTCTAATTGTTTAATCAAAATGTGAGCTACCAAGTCGAATGCTGTACGGAAGTCTAAGTATATTACATCAACACCATTACCTTTATCAACCAAATTTGTAATCTCTATTAAAAAAAAAATCAGGTCATTTTGACAGGATCTATTTTCCATAAACCCATGTTGATTTGCATTAATTACATTGCCCTCTTTATTAGTTTAGTTCCTTTAGTTCTTTATTAGTTGAGTCCTTTATCATTCACCCCATTGTCTGGCCTGGGATCAAAATCAAGCCGACAGGCCTATAATTACCGATGTTATCTCTTTTACCCTTTTTAAAATTGGCACAACACTAGCTTTCTTCCTGTCTTCTGGAACTTCCCTAATGCTCCAAGACTTGTGGAAAATCAGCATTAATTGTACAGCATTAATGTAGCAGCTCTTTTAAAACTCTTGGATACAAGTTATCTGGAGTTGCTGATTTAAAAATGTCTAACTTTAGTAGCCCTCCACAGATACCAGTGGAATTAAAGAGTGTAATCACCATGTGATGAGACTATATCATTGGGGTTTGGGTTTTTTGCCAATTACAGAACAGAAATGTTTATTTAACACTTCTGCCTTTTCTGCATTATTATTGATAATTCTACCATTTCCATGGTAGACTGGATGCTGTGAACAGAGGAGACGCAAAGAGAGGGAGTTTGCCTGGGAACTGTCTGAGAGAAGCTACGATGAGTGCTGCTGCACTGGGGTGGGGCTATGTTGTGAGCTGGTGGGGTGAATATCCGAGTGTCTGTCTGCTGTGACCATTTGTTTGACTGGTGCTAGTTGCAGAGATGGTGTGACAGTTTGTTTGTTTGAAAAATGTGACTGTTTGACGGTGTGGTTGTTTGTTTGGAAAGTGTGAATTGGGAGTGCTTTGTTCCAGGTGGACCTTGAATGGTTGAGCCAGGGCAACTGCTTCGAGCCAGCAGCCTTATAAAAAAGCAGCCAGTTGCGAACCGAGTGAGCTGCGAATAGAGGAGAAGCAAACAGGGAGTTTGCCTGGGTGGCACTTCCCACAGAGTTTTTGTCTTTCAGGCTTCTGTGAGCACTAAATACATCATCTGAAGAGGCTCTTAGAATGAAGAAAGTATGGATAGTGAGTGATCTATCAGCTGTTGTGACCTGCACAGGATGTGCCATGTTTGTCTTTCTCCCAGAGGATAGAAGCAACTTTGTATGAAATGCAAGCTGGTCTCCATATTGGAAGAGAAGGTTAAAGGACTAGAAACCCAAGTATCAACCCTGCGTTGTGTCAGAGAAAATGAAGACTTTCTGAATAGAAGTCCGCGTTTGGTACTGCAGGCACAGATACTGAAGAATCAGAGAGGGTGCAGAACATGGAAGAAAATTGGCAACATGTGACCTCCAGAAGAAGAAAAAGGAGAACCCATGTACCCCCAGTGTGGATAGTGGTAAGAAACCATTTTCAGGCTCTCTGCACAGGTACTATGGCGGAGAATGGTTTGGAAGAATCATCTGAGGGAAGGGATCAGGAGACCCCATTGACTGGAAGACATGGGATGCACTGACCTAGGGATGGGGGTTCCACGACCACCACTCCCAAGAAGAGGAGACGGGTGGTGGTGGTTGGGGACTCCCTCCTAAGGGGAAGGGAGTCATCCATCTGCCGCCCAGACCGGGAAACTCGGTATGTGTGCTGCTTGCCTAGAGCTAGAATTCAGGGTGTGACAAAGTGTCTGCCAAGACTGATCAAGCCCTTGGACTGCTACACCTTCCTACTTCTCCATGTGGGCACCAATGATACTGCCAAGAATGACCTTGAGTGGGTCACTGCAGACTATCTGGCTCTGGGAAGAAAGATGAAGGAGTTTGAGATGCAAGTCATGTTCTTGTTCATCCTCCCTGTTGAAGGAAAAGGCCCAGGTAGGGACCATCGAATTGTGGCAGTAAATGTGTGGTTGCGCAGATGGGGTGTTGGAGAGAGGGCTTTGGATTCTTCGACCATGGGATGTTGTTCCAAGAAGAAAGATTGCTAGGAACAGATGGGATCCACCTAACTAAGAGGGAAGAGCATCTTCGCAGGCAGGCTTACTAACCTAGTGAGGAGGGCTTTAAACTAGGTTTGCCGGGGGATGGAGACCTAGGCCCTGAGGTAAGTGGGATACCGGGAGGAAACACAAGGAGAAGAGTGCAACAGGGGAGGCCTCCTGATTCATACTGAGAAAGTAGGGCAATCGGCTAGTTATCTTAGGTGCCTGTACATGAACACAAGAAGCCTGGGAAACAAGCAGGAAGAATTGGAAGTCCTGGCACAGTCAAGGAACTATGATGGGATTGGAATAACAGAGACTTGGTGGGGTAACTCACATGACTGGAGCACTGTCATGGATGGATATAAGCTGTTCAGGAAGGACAGGCAGGGGAGAAAAATGTGGAGGAGTTGCACTGTATGTAAGAGGGCAGTATGATTGCTCAGAGCTCCGGTATGAAACTGGAGAAAAGCCTGTTGAGAGTCTTTAGGTTTAGCAGCGAGAGCAAGAAGAGTGATGATGTGGTGGGCATCTGCTATAGACCACCAGACCAGAACGATGAGGCAGATGGGGCTTTCTTCGGACAACAGAAGTTTCCAGATGACAGGTCCTGGTTCTCATGGGGAACTTCAATCACCCTGACAACTGCTGGGAGAACAATACAGCAGTGCACAGACAATCCAGCAAGTTTTTGGAGAATGTTTGAGACAACTTCCTGGTGCAAGTGCTGGAGGAACCAACCAGGGGCCATGCTCCTCAGGACCTGCTGCTCATAAATGGGGAAGAATTGGTAGGGGAAGTAGAAGTGGGTGGCAACCTGGACAGCAGTGACCATAAGATGATCGACCAGCAACTCCCCCTCTTCCCCCAGCCTGCCCGGATCAGGTGTCCAGAGGTGTTCAGGAGTCGCTGGGCGGGAAGAGGTGGGGCATGGGCGGAGTGAGGGCAAGAAGAGGCGGGGCGCACGTGGGGACCTTGAGGGAAGGGGTGGCGAGTGGCCCGCCTGGAGCAGAACGGGGGTTCCGCACACCTGGGTCATTAGTACTCGGCGTCTCTGATCGGGGGTTTTAGTTTGTTTATGTATTAAAGTACCAGCAGTGGCTCGGCTGGGTCTGGCCCAAAACGGGCAGGAGCCAGCGTTTACCTTTGCATCTAACAGGTAGTTTTAGCTCCCCGGAACTCCGCTTAATCCCTGCCCTGTTCGTTCCTGCCCCCGGCCTTTCCGAGCCCTCCTCAACCGGCCCCTCCCCCCTCAGCCGGCCTGGCCACCCATAGGCCCGCCCCTGGCGTAGGGGCGCCGCCGGGCTGTGGTTCGTTCGCGGCAGGGTGAACCGAGCCGGTTCAGTCAGCTCGAGCCCGCGCCCCGCCCAACCGCCGCATGCTGGGGGATGTCGCGCTGCAAGGAAGGGCGGGCGAGCGCCGCCGCCGCCGCCACGTATGTGGTGGGGGTCGATGTGGGCAGCATAATGCTGCGCTGCCACGTCTACGACAAGACAGCCGAAGTCAGAGGCGTTAGCAGCAAGAAGGTGAATGAGGGGAAGGGGGAGGAGATTACTGTGGGTTGGGAGGAAGCTTAGCCCCACCCATTACCACATGCTATGGGGACCTTGTTCCTCTTCCTCTTCCCCTTCCGGGCGCCCTGTAACCCGCGCTCCCCTTCCCCCGGCAGCTTCTCGGAGACGGGGCTTTGCCGTCACTCCTTCCTTAGCCCCGCCGTGTGTGGGCCAGTCCCCGCCCCTCCACGGGCAGACTCTGCCTCCCCCGCGGAGCGGGGCTCGACTTCCTGCGGCGCGGCGGCGGCTCAGACCCTGCCTCAGCCAGCTTCGTTCCTAGGGTGCGGGGCTCTGCCCCAGCAAACCCCGGCGCCCCCTGGCCCAGCCTGCCGCGCACGCACCTCCTCTGCCCGCTCCCACGGCTCGGCGCTGCACGGGGGGAGGGGAAGGTTTACAGGGGATTCTCGGGTACAGAATGGAGGAAGCCGTTTGTAGCGTGTTCTAATGAGCCATTTCAATGCGCCTTGTTCCAGTTGGTCTCGTGTCTTGTGGCAGCCCTTGCGTTTGCATGTATTTCATTCAGGTTTTTCCCAACCAGATTAAAATCGCGTTGCTTGCATAGAACGTGTTTTATTGTGGTGGATCCCCAGACGCTTCACAGATGTGTGATAGCACGAGCGAAACACAGCATGTTGTACAGGGGGAAGGGATGTTTTAGCCAAGGAAACCCTGGTAAAGCCTTCTCGTGCTAAGCGTGCTATATGGGGTGGCCAAATCGCAACTCCAGAGCTGCATGCGGCTCGCAGAGCCCCACGTGCCCCCCCACCCCCTCTCCGCCTACCAGACTGGGGAGGAGCTCGGGGCTTCTGCCCTGTGTCAGGTGGTGGGGCTTCAGCACCACGGGAGGTGCCTGCCAGGGCTTGGGCGCTTCAGCCCCTAGCTCCAGTAGTGTCCTCCCCTGGGACTGAAGCTCCGAGATCCCCCTTCCCGCCAGGGCAAAAGCCCCAACCACTGGCAGGTGGACCTCATAGTGCAGAATCCCCAAAACTCCCCTCCCCGCAGCTCCACCATCACGCCACAGGGCAGAAGCCCTGGTATGCACACCCAGCTCTTGAGCTTCTGAAGATTATCATATGTGGCTTTGAGGGTAAGTGAGTTTGGCCACCCTTGTGCTATATCTGTGCAGAGCAGACAGGTCTTTGGTTTATAAAGTAAAGGAGTACTTGTGGCACCTTAGAGACTAACCAATTTATTTGAGCACGAGCTTTCGTGAGCTACAGCTCACTTCATCGGATGCATACCATGGAAACTGCAGTAGACATTATATACACACAAAGTCTCATCCAGTTATCTTTTGCACTTCACATAAAAAACACATGCATATGAAACACCTATTAAACTACATATTAAAATAAAACTTTTAAGCCAACCAGAAATCTACTAGGTCATCCTTAACCAAGTGTGATTATATTCCCTCTGCTTGCTAGCAAAACCTACTTGTGTTCACTCACCTGTGCTATTTGCTTTTTTTGCTCAAACCAATCTAATCATTTAACTGCCCCTGAATTTTGTGCCACAAACAAACACACATCTGTGAATTGGCGTAAAGCAGTGTTTCCCAAACTTGGGACGCTGCTTGTTCAGGGAAAGCTCCTGGCAGGCTGGGCCAGTTTGTTTACCTGCCGCGTCCGCAGGTTCGGCCGATCACGGCTCCCACTGGCACTCAAACCCCAAGCCTGATGAGCCCCTGCACCCAGACCCCCACTCCACTGGGCCCCAACCAGCTGCACCCAGACTTCCACTCTAACAATGCCCCCCCCCACTGTGCCCCACCCACCTTCACCTGGATCACCCCTGCAGAGTCCCATTCCCTTTGCACCGGTACCCCCCAATGGGCCCCTATGCATCCAGTTCCCCCAGTGAGCCACCCACACCCAGATTGCCACACACCTAGATCCCCCCACACTAAGCCCCTCCACAGTTGGATCCTGCCGGGCTTAGCCTGCTTGCCTCACACCTTGTTTGGGGGCCAGAGCTGTGCATGTGTGTGAGACTCTATCTGTCTCACTTGCTATTGTGGTGCGCACAGTATGGAGGGGCAGGACCTGGGGTGTTTCTGGGGCAGGCCTGACCCTTGCAGTGCGTCAGGGTCAGTTGCAGCCTCACCACCTAGTCCGTGTCCCGGGGACAGGGGAAGGCAACAGGGTGATCTCCCACCTCCATGCAGTCAGTGGCCTGTACTCCCCACTACCATGCTGGAGCCTCCACATTTAAAATATGCAGAATTTTGCAGAATTTTTAATTTTTTGGAATAAAATTCCTTCAGGAGTAATTGGTTGAAGAAAATCCTGGCCTGCAGACTACTGTAATTTTCATCTTTTATATACTTTCTGGGTAATTGTCACATCAAAATGTGGACAGCCAGCCATGTTAGTTCTGGGGCAAGAGAGGACAAGGGTATCCTACTATGTTTGCCAGTGGATATACTGAAATACATTAATTTTGATGATGAAAAGATCCTTTCTTGGGAAGATGGAAGAGAGGAGTATGCACTTGTTGTAGAGAGATTATTAGGGGTTAGGAGCACTGGGTTGTTGTCTCAACTCTGAAGATTATTTTTTTTAACTCATCTTGGGCAAGTTTTCTAGTGTTTTTCTCCCTCAGTTTAACTGTCTACATTACGGGTATAATAATGCCTACATCAGAGTTGTGTTGCAAAGCTTAATGTTGGCAAAGTGGTTTGACCTCCTTTAATGAAAGGTGCTACATAGCTGCAAAGTAGCATAATTAAATTATACTCTGAATTAGTGGTACTCTTTAATATTTTCTTCACAGTAGAGTTTGAGTGCAGATATGTCATGATGAACAAGACTGGGGTGCAGTATAAGTAGTTAAGTGAAATATTATATTGGTCACAGAAGCGGCTCAAAGATCAGCATTAGACATACAAACTGCATATTGTTTCCTTTGAACATTCCTACACTTTGGATTCAAGAATCTCTTAGCCTTTTATATTTTTAATTTATTCTACCAATAATATACTGATAGAATTCTCTCTTCTGTTTCTTTAGAACTTAACATATTTGAAGTTCACCTTACTACTAATTCTATCTGTCCTTGATGAGAAAAATGTATATTATGTTAGCTTTTTTGTTAGGCTGGTTAGTATTAAAATTTTGTATAGACATTGGATTTGCTATTTAATGTTCAGTTTAACTCTTGATAGATTTTTTTGTGGTTTTCTTTAATACAAAATTGGCTAATACCCACTAAAAATAACTTTTGTTAGTCCTTTGAGAGAACTCTGCAGTCCAGCTCAAGGTGCTGAGCTGGTAGCTATATTCTAATGCAGTTAAAACATCTGTGACCCATCATACATGAAGAAACAGTTGGGTGGTAATTCAGTTAAACAGTTAGCATAAAAGCACTTTCATGTGTTTTGCAGTTGAAAATGGTGTGCTAAAGTTTGTTTTTAATTTTCCATGGTTATAATTCAGCAGCACTCTAGTGGGTTGTCAGTTCCTGTTTTAAGCCCACATCTATGCTACAAAAAGCCTATTTTTTTAAAGCTGGTTTAAGCAAACAGTGTAGATGGGTGCACCAGTCATTATAGGTTGGTTACAACTACCTTCAAATGCTTTTTTAAAAAAATGTTTGAGACTACTCCTGATGGTCCTAAATTAAGCAATTTTTGAAAGTGTCTGTTTTTAGTGCAGACTGGGGCTGACTCCCAAATAAGTTTGGTGATTTTCTTGTCTTCGTACTCAAATGTGTACAAGACAGAATTGCCATAGAGGTTGGCAAAATGGGTTGTTTTTGCTTTCTAAACCCAGTACAAGATCAATACACATTGATTTATTGCAAGTTAGGCTTGAGATACATCAGCGAAGGTGTTTGGGCTAGTTTGGAACAGCACTCAACTCAACATGCAATGCTGAGCTCAAAACAGTGTTGTAAGTTCTCATTTTGGAGAACATTATAGGAAAAAATACAGCTGGGACATTTCTCATGGCTTGTCTACACTGGCACTTACAGCACTGCAACTTTCTTGTTCAGGGGTTTGAAAAAACACACCCCTGAGCGCTGCAAGTTTCAGCGCTGTAATGTGCCAGTATAGACAGTGCACCAGCGCTGGGAGCTACACCCCTCATGGAGGTGGGTTTTTTAGAGTGCTGGGAGAGCTCTCTCCCAGTGCTATGCCGCAACTACACAAGCCACGTTAAAGCGCTACCGCGCTTTAACATTGCCAGTGAAGACGTGCCCTCAGTATTTAAACCACTTGTTCATACTTGGGGTGTGGAGACTGTAGGAACCACTAGTATTTGGCAGGTACCATGCTTCTGAATTCGGTGACTGGAATCTGTATGTAGAAAGGAATCTGTATGTAGAAAGCAATGGGCAGTCTTTCTTTTAAGCTATACAGACCTTTAGAAAAGGTTCACAATTTCAAAACTGACATAAGACTCAAGGTTTGTTACTTTCATCGTCTGGTAAGTAAAGGTTTTGGTTTGTCATTTTTATTTATTTAATTTGGTATGTTTTTTTTCTCTTGTCAGTATACTAAAAACAAACAAACAAACCCCACAACCTTTCTTGTTCTTAGGCCATGAGCAAGGTAGATTTAAAGACTTTTTTTTTAATTGGATTTTTAAATTTAAATACAATTTTTTGATAAAAATACATGTTCCTTTTAAAAAATAAACCTGTTTATATTTGAATTTTAAATTGACAATTTGTTAAGGCCTACATTTAGTATAATCTCTAGAATCATTTAAATTGAATAAAAATATTTAAGTAGTACATGTTTGCTACTGAAGTTTGAAAGAAAGGCAAACCACTGAATTGGTGGAAGTCACTGGCTAAGTACCAGGAACCAGAGTTTGCTGAAGTTCTAAACAAGTTTTTGACAGCAGTAGCTTCTTCTGCAGATACAGAAACAGTTTTAAAATGTTATTTTTGTGCATTTTAAGTGAATTCCAATTTCTGTCCAAATGAAGCTTGACACAAATCACATCAAAAAAATTAATCATCACCAGGTAAACTAAGGGTTGCACACTTTGTAGCATCATGCCAAACTCATTGCATACACCAAGGGCTTCTTGCATTCCTCTGTTTCACCCCACAAGTTCTGTGTGCCAATTTTTTTATCTCCCTTACATTCAGGGACTCGTGCATCTCCTCTCACCCCGTACCATTACAGAGGTTGTGTTTGCCTCCACTTCTCCCATGCCAGTGGCTGTGTGCCAATATGTCCCCCATTCCCCTTTGCCCTCAAACGCCGTATTTTCCCCTTCAGCCCCATTTCAGGATCTTACATTCTCGCCCTACCAAAGGATCTGTGTGTGCTCTTCCCCCTTGCCAGGGTCTTACTTCCCCCTCACCCCCCATGCAGGGGCTCTGTGTGGCCCCCATCCCAAGCTTCCCCATGCTTCCTTCCTCCTTGCTCAGTATGCCCCCTTTCCCCCATCATTATTATTTCTCTTCTTTCTGTCTGGGAGATAAGTCATTCAGGCAGGAGTGGCCCTAGCCAAGTTGCTAGCCAGGGCAGAAATTCTCTTCAGTAACCCTACAATTGTCAGAGGGGTGGGAAATAAAATGGTCCAGCACCCCCCGGAAGTTGGTGCACTGGGCAACTGCCCTTCTCCCCCCCCCCCCCCCCCTTGGAACCAGCCTGCATTCAGGCTATCAACTTGTTAAACTCTCTTGGGAGGACGATCTCAGATGATACGGGTATTGTTATGCTGGAAGACGTTAATTGGTGTCAACCAGTTCTTTGATATATAGAGGATTACAGAGGTTCTTGAAGCTGTTAGATGGGAGGATTCACACTTCCACTATTCCAGTTTTCTGATTTTTCCCTAAAATCAATAGGGTTCTGCCCATGGAGACCTGGCTCATTCCCAGAAATGTTGTATTTCATTGGATGTGGTGTTCAAAAGTCATCATGTTACAGACAAACAAATGCCATCAAGTTGAGATTAAGACCTTGCAAATTTAGTCATTTACCAATTTCTAACCAAAAAAACAAACAAACCTTAAAAAATTTAGAATCCAATTAAATGTACGTTAAACTATATAGTTGATTAAATAAATGTGTGCCGATACAGTGTATCCTGGTTAGCAAAAAGAAGTACCAATGTATACCAACAAATGAGAATAAACCTTTCTTTAGGAAAATAACTAAAAAGTAAAACTACCAAACAAAATTAAAATAATTGATTTTAATTATGGTTTCCTGCCTGTTGGCTTAAATCAGTCTAAAATATGGAATATTGTTATTTGCAGGGGAAAAATAGAAGATCCAAGGTAACAAAATCTAAAAAAAAATACGAAGCATGTGTTATCTACTTTTCCTAATTTTACATAGGCATTGTAAAGTAACAACATAATTATGATAAAATCAATGAGCAGATGTTTAGAAATAAAAAATCCCTTTTAATATGTGTGGCTTTAAAAAAAAATTGTTAAACTTGCAACAAATGTAAATTTTTGACTTAAGACTCTACTTAAAGACTATAGTTAAAGTCCTTTCTATACCTTCCTCCTTCTCAGTTATCTGAGCAGAATTTCCTTCCTGCTGGAGTGCAACAAAAACGAACTCTTTCTGCTTTGACAATATTAACTCAGTTCAGACAGGATTTTCTCCTGCCTAGCAAGACAATTTCTCAGTTCCTTTAGAATGTTTTACTTGTATGTGTTTTCCATTCGTTTGTGGATTACATATGTGTTTCTTCTGTAACTGATATAAAAGACAAGAAATAATGTATTAATTCTAAAGTATCAAAGCAATTGGAAAAATATTTGAAACACTTTTAGAAAAAAATAATATTAATATTATGTTCTTAAAATTGTAATAAAGTTGATAATATTTTAAAAAAAAAGCCTAAATGAGCCTACTTGTTCCACTTCAGTGAGCAGGAAGGCCAGTTAAAGCTTTGGGGATGGAACCCTTCTGTATTATGGGCTTATTAAAGGGAACATTTTAAATGTAAAGGGGTGAGATCCATCTCTAATATTCCTCCAGTGTGTCAATGGAGTTACAGTAGGGATGTATACTGGTCCCTATTGTGTGTACTGCAGGAGCCTGGACACTCATAGTATTGTTACTGTTCATAGTAATATTATACTTCTTGTAAACAGGTAGAAACACTTCATCCTCATCTTGGCTGGGTTGAACTAGATCCTGAAGTTCTGTGGACTCAGGTCACAGATGTAATAAAAGAGGCAGTACAAGGTAATCATTCATGAAACCAAATAATAGTAGCTGATGTTAACTAAAATCATTTAATCTATTAGTTATTTTTGTACTTATGCAACGTCATCTGCTGAAAATATATTGATGTTGCTGAATAGGAAACTACAAAATACCTTAAGAACTGTCTGTCTACCTAATCCTGTAAACCCTTAGGCATTTAAATAACTTAATGCACAAAAATTTTCACATGAGCATGTGTTTACGGGGTTGGGCCCTTATTTAGTTATTTTAATGAAGCTTTCAGTAATAACTTACCAGAGAGCAACAAAATTCTCAAATTAGTACTACTTTTGGTTCACTGTGTATAGTCCTTCAGTTTAAATGGGATTTCTTAACATATCCTTCGGGTGAAATTCAGCCTTTGGACATCTTGCATGTAAGTCCCTTTGAAATCAACCGGAGGTCTCTTCAGGGTATGTGAAGACAAAATTTTCTCTTCAAACATTTGTATAATTTCTGGAACACTAATTTTAAACTTAAAATAAAATAACTTTGTTATTATGCAAAAGGTGTCATAACAAAATTAGTAAGTCACTCAGCAAATATGAAATTCTACAATTAAATTAATTTTTTTTAAATGTAAAGGCACATTGTCAACTTAAAAATCATGTAGTAAACAAAGACATTTCTTACATTACTAATACCTATATTGAAATCCAGTTTGCATGTTGCTAGTCATGCTTTTTGTTCACTTTCTGTATTTTTGATTTTTTTTCTCGGCATAAAAAATTAAAATCAGTGATGTCAGTTGCATGTTCAGGTTATTAAAGTTGCAGTGTTTGGGTTTAAATTCTCTGAGGAAAAGTTTGTTTAAAACAGCTGTTTTCACTGGAATTTAGAAAAGAAAATTGTGGAGATATTTCTATTTTTAGAAGATTTTATAAAAGTATTCATTTACAAAATAGAAATTTTAGATCACATTTAGTATGTTTGCTTTTAATTCTAGAAATATTCATTTTAAAGAGTTCTGCCTTATTGAGCTTGAATGATTATATGAAGTCACAAATTTATTTTTTTCTTAGACTTGTGAGCTCCACAGGGCAGGGATACTTTGTCTAGCTGAGTGCTTCTACAAACTAATAATATCAATAAACCCTAAATTATCAGGGTGAAGCCTCTCCATTGTCCGTGCAACACAAAAGTGATTTTGTTTATTCATGGGACTTCCTTGCCTTTCATCTAGCCTGTGTTATGCTCCCAAAGATATCTAGAACGTCCCTATTGAAAGTCTCATTACTTCTGCCATGCGGGCACAGTATCTGTCTTCCCCTCGTGATGCTTCCTGAATAAGCCTACAGGGATTGCCTAATAAAAATATAGGCAATGAAAGGGCCAGTGTGCAGATGTTGCTTTTGTAAAATCCAGGATTATATGTCCAACTATTTTGGAACAAATTGGTCTAGCTCTGCACATTCGTGCTGTGTACTTGGTTATTTCAGCAGTTACGTCACTTGTTTAGCTGTCCAATGAGTAAAAATCAGTATTTATTACATTTGTTGAGTAATTTCCTAACTTTCCATAAGGTGTGTATTTATGTCATGTTATAATATTAGCATAAAAGTGATTTCTCAACTTTGAAAATATATTTTTACTTTTAGCTGCAGGACTACAAATGAATCAAATTGCTGGTCTTGGCATCTCAACACAGAGAGGAACTTTCATTACATGGAACAAGTATGTACAGTGTGTGCAGGTTAAAATGAATGCACGTTGCAAAAGTGTATTAGTTTGCCCTATAAATTTAAGCACTTTACAGAACAAGTAAAAAAACCCTAAAGAGCTTACAATCTAACTTTACATGAGCACGGAGAGTGAAGATAACCTATAGCAGAAAGGGAGGTGAGGCGAGGGAAGGACAAAAGTTACAGCAATAAAATCACACAATTACTCAGTTTAGGAATATATACAGCTTGGTGTTTCAAAAGTTTGTGTAGTGCATATACTGTGATTCACTTTCTGTAGGCAGTGTTCCTGACTGTTACCCAATTCTTCCAAAGAGTTAGAGAACAGAGTATGTGAAAGAACAATGGATGCATCTAGTATGTCATGAAGAGCCAAGTGGAAAACTTTCTTTAATTGTGGAAAACAGAACAGGAAAAATCACACTTCAGAAATAGCATTTGTTGAGAGGGTAACTCCTTAACAAGAAAACAAAACAAAAAAAAAAACCTATTGCTGCACAATCCAGGCATAGATATTGCTATTGGAGATGTTTGGGGTAAAAGTTGAGACACTGAGTCACAAGTGCATCCAATTTAGGCTTAATCATTTCAGACAGAATTATTGTCACTTTATAGTGTCTGGCATACATTTATGCCAGACAAATAACAGATAAGATAGAATTGGTAAATGGGCCCAAATGACCACATTTTGGGGCCCTGGGAAGTTCTTCCACCTTCCATGATAGTCCTCGCCTTCTCTGATCTCTTAGTCTGGTCCTTCAGTGCCATTCTTCAGTTTCTACTCCAGTGTTTCTCCAGATGGGGAACATGTTCTTTTATACAGTTCTACATTACCGAAGACTTAATCTTTATCCAATCAGCTTTTAGGATATCAACCTTTTGGATTTTAGGTAACCCATACATTACTGTTACCAGCTTTGCCCGTTACTTTGGGGTATGCTCATTTATTAGGGTTACTCTTCTGGGGTAGGGGGTGTTCTGTACTTCTATCAATGTGTTGCTTGTATCACTTGTGTTCTCATACAGAGCTCTACTTCTCCCTGCTGCAGTTCAAGGGAGAACACTAGATTTGTTTATGTGTAAACAAGGAACTATACCAAAGTTGTTTTGTTCAGGCTAGACCATGGGAGCTGATCATTCCTGGATTTGGGTGGAGTACCTTGGAGTGAGCTCACAATGCAATTAGGGAGCTTCACTATTTTGGATACCAATAAAGGATTTATTACTAGAATTGGTCTGATAACTACTGGGCTGGGTGTATGCCGGCATGGGTTCATTAACAACTGGAGCAGAGATTCCTCATCGTGCAGTGCTACCCTGCTTTTCTGGTCCCAGAGTTCCATGTGGTTCTTGCCTTGGAATCTCTGTTCTCCATTCTGTATGCTAATAGAGATGCCTCCTTGTCCCATCTTCAGTGCAAATGAGGCTAGGGGAATTTCCTTAATCCTGTCATCTTTATCCCAGGGGTTTAGGTGTGTCTCTCCCTGTCTTTTCATTGCTTTTTGTAAATCTTCTGATTGGTTTTGGTTCAAGCAGAGGTCGGGGGGTGGGGGAAAGGTCTTTTGTGAGTCAGACAGGCTGGGTACTGCACCCTGGTTCCCCAAGAACACAGAGCTGCTAGGTACTAAGTCCTCCCATTGATGTGGTGCTTGTGTTGAGCAAGTATCCCCATCACATCCTTACTCGGTGATACCAAGTCTGATCTTCAATCCATTGCAGCCGCCACATCAGTCGCTGGATCCAGCAAACCAGTAGAACCAGACCAACTGCTAGTATAATTTGGAAACCGATGATCACCACAATGGGGTGAAGCATGATATTTAAAAGACCTGTTGCACTGGGGCCCCACGCAAGCAAAGTCTCCCACCAGGACTGGTGACCTGTGTTTTTTGACTGTAACTGCTAACCTAGAGATCTCCTGGTTGTGGTGTTGAATCTCGAGTTTTCCATTCTCCCCCAAAGTTCGGAGCTTCTGCAGCTCAGTTTCTAAGGTGGGATGAGTTAATAGTCGCTTAATGGCAGTGAGACCCATTCCCAGTGAAATGAGGGAAAACCTCCTTGTAGAGCTCAGGATAGGCTTTCAAATGTTGTACAGTCCAGATAGGCACAGAAAACTTAATATCACAACTAACAATAGTGGTTACATTACAGAAACAGCGATTAAAGTAAGGCACCATGGGTTAAATCCAGTGTCCATTAATCAATACAATATTACCTCTCGTTCTTACACACACACACACACACGCTTTATCAAATAGATAAAAACAGACCCCTTTTCCTGGATAACATCGAAGGAACAGTGAGACTTACTCCCAGGTTGTGGGAAGAAGCATTCTTCATGTTCCTCCAATGCTTGGTCTTCACGGATATAGCCCAAACCTTCTTTTCTCCTACACCCCTTTACATTTACTGTGTTCCACACATTATCTTTCTGCCAGGCCCAAGTGTTAGGATCTCTGGAATACATTACTGAGTTATCATTAATCTGTAATTCCAGTGGGACTACTGGGTGGATTATTCTAATTTCTTTGCCTACCACTGTTATCAGGAATAACTGCAAGCTTTGCTGGTGGTGATTGTATGAAGCATTAACTAGTCTCCACCGGGGCCGGAGGACTAATTCTTCCTTCGTAACATGGAGCCGAATCAAGTTGATTGCCTCGATGGGACTTTGTCCTGCTATGGCTTGCCTAATCATTCCCATGATTATGTTCTGGGTGAGAGCCTGAGCTCACACGCTTAGATCAATGAAAAAAGAAAAGGAGTACTTGTGGCACCTTGGAGACTAACAAATTTATTTGAGCATAAGCTTTCGTGAGCTACAGCTCACTTCAGCATTATTCTGGAGGGACTGTACACCAGACATCCTTAACTCTTAATCTTTTTCTATGAGTCTTTCTCACCCAGGAAATACCTTACTTATTAACTGCTGTTCCTCACTTAACTGTTTCAAAGATACTGTTGATGGGGTTCCCATCTTTCCTATATTTTCAGTGGCATATGATAGTTTATTAACCAGAACTTCTATGTTTGCGGCATCAACTAAAGTGATTCCTGTTCCTACAGGTGCAATCCAATCACTTAATTCCATTTTTACTCTATTTACATGGTCAGCCCCTTACCACATTCTTACCCATTCATCCCAACTCTTATGGCTAGTTCCAATCAAGGGAGTGCATACAGGTGCTATGTGAGAGATATTCATGCCTTCTAAGTGGATTTGAACCTCCTTCAGGGAAGTCTGAGGTTGAAGAACCAAATGTTCTTGTTGATCCAATTTCAACACATGGGTTCCTGAAACTGGTGCTCTTAATCGTCGGAGGGGAGCAAGGTTTGTGATCAGAGGGTCAAAATTTAAAACTGGTTGTTGTTGTTGTTGTTGGCCCAATTCCATTCTTACAATCCGAGCTCATGGAATCACTCTAAAAGGGAAATGTGCCCATAGAATTTAAACCAAATTGTTGGCGTGAGCTTGTCACAAGGTGTGCCCTTTAATGGAACTACCCAGTCTGGGGGACCTTGCTGAATCAAGTCATGTCCAGCTAATGTCCAGTTCAGTTCAGCGGTTCCCAGTTTACAAGGACCCGTGTGATATTCTTGCCTGCTGATGTGATCAGAGACAGCTGCAGTTCATCTCCGGGTAACGGAGGTGTCTAGGTTTCGATGACAGTGATGACACATGGGGGGGGCATGGTCGCTCCCCAAAGAGCGGAGAAAACCAGGACTATCCTGCACCTTCTGCCACCTGGGAGGCTGTCATTGGTTGCGTTTGATGGTGTACGAACCTCTCGAGACCACAGTGGCTTACAGAAGAATGGGATGGAGTCTGGTGTGGTCTTAGTTTCATAAAAAAACTTGGGTGACTCCCCAGTGGCACTCTGCATGCAATTGGCAACGCTTTCCCAAGGGCAACCCGAGGAGTTGCCGACAGCGTAGAACTGATAGTGACACTGCAGTTAGGTAAAGGGGGTTGCTTCTATTGCCATAGAATCCATTCATGTGGCACAGCAATTTTACTTCCTGGGCTCCAGCTGGCAAGCACCTCCAGAGGTTCAGAGGAATCACAGGTTCAGCATAGACCCTGGACAGCATCAGACTCCAGACATCTATGAACAGCAGAGTGCTGGTGCAACAGTGGGATGTCATGGCTCATGTTTGGGACCTGTGAGGGGGCAGAGAAGAGAGAACAAACTTCTACACTCTCCCCGTGTGTACTGGGAGAGTCTGGGACCAGTATTGCAGGGTGAGCATGAAGCAGTGACCTACGTGAGGGTGGCCATAATAAGTTGAGGACTTCTCTGGCCTCTTCCTGCCTCAACGTCGGGGTAGGCACTGACAAGCCCTCCCGACTTGTATTTTCCAAGGGGGGAGGGATAGCTCAGTGGTTTAAGCATGGGCCTGGGTTGTGAGTTCAATCCTTGAGGGGGCCATTTAGGAATCTGGGGCAAAAATTGGGGATTGGTCCTGCTTTGAGCAGGGAGTTGGACTAGATGACCTCCTGAGGTGCCTTCCAACCCTGATATTCTATGACAGGAAGAGACACAGCTAAATCCCTGGGATAAGGATGACAGGATTAAGGAAACTCCCCTAGCCTCATTTGCATCAAAGATGGGACAAGGAGGCATCTCCATTAGCATACAGAATAGAGAACAGAGATTCCAAGGCAAGAACTGCACAGAACTCTGGGACCAGAAAAGCAGGGAAGCACTGAATGATGGGGATCTCTGCTCCAGATGTGGCAATTCTCCCGATCCACAGACAACTTCTCATCATGGCGAACCATCATTTTCAGTATATGGTCCTTCCTTTCAGTCTGTCTTCTTCCCCCCTGGGTTTTTATCAAATGTATGGTCATGGTGACGGTCTACCTTAGGAAGAAGGGAATTCATACGTTCCCATATGTGGATAACAGCTACTAAGTGGCAGGTCCAGAGAAGAAGTCATGTCTCTCATACACATTTTACTGTGCTTACTTGACTATCTAGGTCAAGT